GAACTTCAAAAGCACAATTTTGAAGGTCAAAAACTCATGAAAATGCATTTTAGAACAAGTTCGTTTATATTTCAGTCCGATTCATAGCAAAAACCATGAAACTCAGCAAGTGATGATCTCAGACAAATAGTAAGCTAATGCACTTTATCTGGTAATTTGTAAAGTCTCGCACAGCACTAGACTGGAGTTTTAAGTTGGTGACAGCCAGAGAAATCGCGCCTCTTGACCGTCTCCCCATAAATGTGAGGTAAGCTCCATTTCCAAGCAAATACTCAAATTCATAGTTTTTTGTCTTTGTTTTTGAGTCATCTACCGTATGCTAATACCGTTGATGAAGTTCAAAGCCAAGATTGTAAAAGTATGTTAGCTTTCATTTTCAAGCATACTTAGAAATAATTTCTAAGGCAATTACTTTTCAAGATGTTCTCAGCGAAAAGATGAGCAAATCTTCACGAATTTCTAGAGTAAGCCCAGATAATGTAAAAAAGGTTAAACATGCAAAAAACTATTTCCACTTCCATCAAAGCTTCGGCTACGCTAAATTTTTTGAATCGCTTCCACACGTTGAACTATCAGAAAAGTAGTCTAGTGCGAAGACTTGAAAGTGAAGTGAACTGATGGTTATTGCTTTATTCTCGCATATAATTTAGGGATTCTGAGCCCTAAAGATTAGGTTGGACTGCGATAATGCATCTTTCACGCAGCCACATGAGAAGAAGGCACTTGTAAGTTTTTATAACAAACAATTCGTGTAGAAGTTCTGTTTCCGAGGAACTGTAACGATCACGTGATCAAAAGCCTTTCATCAACAACTCAGAGCTGCGAGATCTGAGGCAGTGTCATAGCACATCGCTATCTGCCAAAGCAAAGCTGACAAATCCCTAGCCAACAGTCCATCCAGTAATTTTCTCATCGAGTCTATCTCGATTCCAAAGCCGTAAGCAATCTCTGATGTGTTCTTTGTATCGGTCAACTGACCGTCTAATCCATAAATCAAAAGGCAGTTCCGACACCTATCATCATCGGCAATTAACTCAACTTTTGAAACAAATTGCACTCGTCATGTGATTATCTAGCAACTTTGTTTTGCGTAGATTTTTCTTATCAGTAAGGAACAGTCTAGCATTGCTAGTCGATACAGTGGCTCTATGGTGCCGACAGGCAACATTTGTAAATGCTAGGATGTAATTAAAGGTTTTCCCTCATTTTGAAATGTTGCGGTTTTTCATTACACACATTTTACATAAGAAAAATTCAAATTTATCTATTGAAATTTTTCCAAATTATTTTTGGCAAACTGTCATTTTATGCGACTGTTGAGCTCAAACTTTCGGCTGTTCCCTACTAGCACCGATTCTTCCAAAACTCTATTGAAAACCAAGAAGACGAAAAAGAAGCTTGAGAAAATAAGAAATGAATAAAGGAGGCGAGCTTGAAGTGCCGTTACAGAACTGCCCTAATATGTTAATTTGAAAATGTTGCAAACGGACAGCCATTCACTTCCTCAATTATGCCAAAATTTTGCCAAGTCTCTTGTGATCTCCGGAAAATAAGAAATGTAATAAATGTACAACCCAACAGCTGGCCTCAACGCGTAAATGTTCTTGCAACTAGCGACGCAAGAACTGTTCAACTTTCAATCTTTTGATTTTACAACTAAGCAAATTTTACCGGGAAAATTCATCTTCAAATCTAAGCTTTCACGCAAACTATCAATGACGGACTCTTCTAAAAATCAAACACCCACTTGACACCTGATATCAAAGGAGCTGTGTAGCTAAGGCGTTAACACCGGCAGTAAGAGGGTGTGTGAAATGCGATACTCTGTAATAGTCCCTGTCGGTCCAGCTTTATGCAGAGGTCAACGCTTAACCCTCTTGTACTCTCATCGCAAGCAGTGCACTGGAATTCATTTGTTCAAGAATCACTCGCATTTGGCCAAGTGGTGCTAGTCACTAAGAGGATGAATGAGCTGAATGAGAGCCAGTTGAAGCAGGTAACTGCGCTAGTGTCATGAGCACTGGTCAGATGGGCACTTGAGCGAGCAGCAGCCCATATCGCCGTCGAATTCGCTGCGATTCGAAGACGCAACGGTCGTTAACTGGTTGCGGTTAGCTCCGTTTCGCCATCGTACTCTCTAATTTATGGTGGAGTGTCTTTGTTGCGCGCCAGGGCAAATTAGCGGCACTAATCAGTTGTCGCACGGTAACACCTTCGAAGATGGATGTTTGTGCAATTACGCTGAAAAAAAAAAAGAATACTGCCAAAGGGATTGGGACCACTGTGTTCTTGTTTGCTTCATGACGATTTCTGTCACGCACTTCCACAACTGGCCGTCAACGTTGCGTCATCGTGCCACCTAAACAAACTTTTGCATATGGCAATTCATTCTGGCCGATAATGTTCTAACCATGATTGGTTTTTCAAACTGAGCTACAGAACGGAAAGGATTCTTTTTCTAGGACTTTTTCAACTCCAGAAACTACATGATCGAAGTTGTCAATAAATCTCTGAAAAAGTCAAGAATGTTGAAATTGAGGAATTAAAAGTCAGGTCGAAATGAATATATCCTGTTTTGGCAAACATGAGAAAATTTGCGTTAGTGGTATAAGGAGAAAAAAATTTGAAAAATTTAATTGCTCATTTTATGGAACGTTGCATATGTTAACAAGGAAGCATTCGTGGAAACTCGAAACAAGTAAGCTTACAAACCTGCCTTCCTTACTGGGGAGTTCCGGGGACGTCTACTTCCTTCATTAGGTCTGAAGGCAGGAACGAAGCGGAGTCTGGTTGTTTCGTTTCACCAAAAATTAATGATTCTTATGATAAAACTTTTTTGCCAAAATCAAAGTCTTGAAAACGGTAATTGTAGAAGGATATAAACATATTGGATATTTAAGCTAGAAATTCCCACTAGTAGGCAAACCATTTATGGCGCCAAGTGGAACAACTCGCGAGATACTAGCGATACGGAATCCAACGACGCTAAAAATTTCAAAATAAAATAAAGGTCGACAACAAAGTTTTTACAATAGTAGTTTTGATATAATGATGTAATTTCCAACGCACTTAACCCTGCTGTCCGTCCTGCTCTACTTGCGCCTTGGCGTTATCCAGGTCTTGCGTTATCGTCGCGAAGTGTTATGAAGGTGTCCTCACCGGCTACAGTACTCTTTTGAGTTAACCGCCTACACAAACATGTGATGCAATGGGATTTCCACAAAGTGGAATCGAGCAAAAATAACGGACCGGGTCATCACTAGTAGATGTGGCGCGTGTTATTCAAGCTTGATAGGACTTTGCGAGTGCAAAGATCTTTATCGAGGCAGTCTCTGATGGGGGAAACAGACAGCATTCACTTCGAATCAGTCGGCGTGTCTTCAACGAGGACAAACAAAGGGTCTCCTTTACCTGAAAACTTTAAAATCACGAAGACTTTACATACGTTTTTATGGTGCTCTCTAAACGAATCGGAAGCAGTATTCTGCCGCTGCTCATGATGCCTCGATAACTGCATCACCAGAATAATGCATTATTCTGCATTATTCTGGTGATGCATTATGATTTCAATCTAAATGAAATAAATCAAGTAAAACAAATACTGCTCAGTATTCAGGAAGGTAACACCTAATCAGTCACTGCAGACAAGGTCATCGTAATCTCCTTCACGCCTGTTGCAGAATTTCTCCAAAGATTAGATGAGCATGATATTTTATCAACATGTTCGCAATTACTAGAGCTCTTGGGCTGCATTTCCTTGCCCTGCAGTTTTTGGCAATTTCCACAATTTTTCCGCAAAATTTTTAAATTCATTCTGCACAAGCAGTGATTCTCTCTACAAGGTTGGTGAACAAGTTTTGCCTTGAAATCTTGATTTAATAACGTTTCTAATATAAGTTGAGTTTAGAAATCATGGGCTGTCTAATAATGCTTAAATCAAAAATTATCGTTGCCTTATCGCGGCATTGAGCTGACGAACACAAACACTCAAATTGTATTTTTAGATTCCGTTAACTAAATTTGCTAAGCGTTTCACTTCCAACTCTAATTTTGATTTGGAATTTATGGCCTATTCTTTCAACAAAGATAAAGCAGCCGTACTAATCAGATATCTCTACTAGATTGTAGTTCACGAGTTTTTTCTTGCGAATTTTGACTTTCTGATAGATGAAATCCGCTAGTATGTGTATAAGATATATATATATGTTGTTTGAAACAAAAGGAATATCATACAGATTGAAACCTTCACCTAATCTTTTATGAATGAATTTGAAAAAGACTCATGTTTCAATCTAATACAATGACCAAAGAGATTTCATGATTAGTTATTAGCACTGTAGTGTGTCACTTGAGCTTGCCGACACCTAAAGGTATGGTAAGAACCACAGGCGACTATTCGTTACCAGCCGTCATAAAAAAAAGAGCGATGGGGAGCGACGTGTCATAATTTTCATTATCCCTCATTCAGAGTAAAATTATGTTTCTTGTCGACTTCAAAGTCAGCGTATGGTCTGACTCAACAAAATCTCGATTTTGCTGATGAAACTTTGGTGAATAGTTTGAAAAACCCAACACGGGCGTGAATTTAAGAATCGTAGACATATAAATTGTGAGAAATATGTCGATTACCTCATCCGTACATAAACATCGGTAGGAAACCTTTGATATAGCAATTCTACGCGCACAGGATTAGTCATCTAATAAGATGCCGACGAAGGTGCATAACATAAAAATACCATCGCATCCCTTCGACATTCTAGACGTTTCTAATTTTCAAGTTTTTGGAAGGACTCGAATCTTCGAGTCGTCAAGCACGAAAGCAACAATCTGTCCCACATCTGTCGTGCCATAACACTTCGTGCTCGTTCAAGGGCTTGATTTCACCTTTGATACCGTCTCGGGAGTGGGCGGGACGAGGAGAGGGGGAGCGCGGGGGCGGTGCCGAGCTGGAGGGGCCCATCAGCATTTGAATTGGGCAGAATTATTGGGCAGTAAGTGAGATGTCCTGCCTAGCTATCACCTTCGATGGTCCGAAGATCAAAAATGGACGACGTCTATTCGAAAGTTTTGTGCAAGCAAATAAGTACAGCTTTTGGAACAGGTTGGTTACCATTTGTTGCTTTACTTTCATTCCTTTGGTTAAATTATATTTTTTTATATTTTGCACTTTCTTTCAGAGAGCTAGTTCAAGCTGCAGAGTCACTTATATTCATGGGATTTATGAGGCCTTGTACCTTGTTCGTATCCGCACCAACCGTACACCTACAGTCTCTACGAACTGCATGGGCTCGTCGGGTGCTGAAGCCAGCCGATGGCTACCAAATCACCTCACTAGGTAAGTCTCCTTTCCTCATTTCTACCCACTACTTCGCTCTTCCTCCACTTTTCGCCCAACTTACCGTACCACCAATCACAGTAATCCCTCTCCTTGTCCACTCTATGCTCCTTGAACTTATGTCACCGCCATCGACATAGTGTCTTTCATCTTGTCGTTGCCGTATTCTTCTCATCGCTGTCCGCACAAAACTTCACCGTAATCCGCGCACCTTTTGCTGAAAGCGATTCGGTCCATGTCGGTCGAGCTTTGATGTTGTCATTTGGCTGCGCCATGTTGTGCTAATTGTATACTATAACCACCACCGTAACACCTTGAGGTCGCCAGATTTACGGTCTAATTGACCAACCTGCTCGTTTTTCCACTATTTTTTACGTGGTCTGGGCTCGCTAGTAAAAACTGCGCTGGAAAAGAATTGCGCAAAATGATTAGAAAAAAATTTACTGTTAAAATGAGAATTTACGTATTTACCGCTTTTCTGAGCTGAAAAAGTATCAGCAAACCGTTCTTAGTCTCAAGTATTTTAGTTTCTTCTGTAACTAAAACAATCACTTCCAACAGAAGCTCAATAACCCAGACAGTCATACCCGTAATAAGCTCAATATCTGAAAAATTGGGGACACCGAAGAAATCTAGCTAATATTCTTGAGCAATTCCAACAAAACTATTCGAATATTTTCCTACGGTAGAGTTGTAGAAACTCATATTTTATTGCTTGGTTTTGCTCAAAAACACCACTTAACTTCTACATTGTCTCCGTTTCCAGATAGTGAGCTAATGAGGGTTTTTGACTGTCTGGGTTACTGACCTTGTGAAGAGAGTGACTGTTTTGGTTAAGGAGAAGATTACAACGCTTTGGATTAGAAATATCGTGAAATAGTTACTCTTTTGGCATAAATCACATAAATTCGTACTAGCAAGCCGCTCTACTCTTTGGACAACTTCGTATGGATTAAGCGGCGCTGAAATCAAAGACACATCTCACTAGGGACATAACTCGCGCTTAGGCAATCGCTCTCCCTTTGTTGGCGGTGTACTGCCCAAAAAACATATGTAAATTCGCCCCACGCTGGCAAGATATATGGCCGAGATTACGCCAGTACGGGTAATTGCTTTCTTTGCGGAGTTTTGAGGGTAAGAGCACCTGTTGCTCGAGCATGCAATGCGATACTCGGGTACAGGTGCGGACCAGATGTGTTTGGTACTTGACGTCGAAGTAAGCGGAGATAAGAGCTAAACATTATGACACACACGCAAGTTTCAGGTGAGATGGGAGCGATACAGAGCGTCGAGCAGATGCACTTCGTCCCGCTGGCCGACGTGCTCTGCGATGCGATCGTGAGCCTGAATCGCATCGGCAAGGCGACCACGATCGCCGCGGTACGACAGTATGTGATCAAGAATTGCCCGTACGTTGCTCCACCGTCACCGGAGATGGTCAAGCAGACCGTGGCCAATCTCACAGCAACAGGGCTCGTCTACAAGATGGGCGACCATCTGTTCGTCTCCGTACCTGCGCAAACTCCGGCACAGGCTAAGGTAAGTCAGACGAGACAAGTTGCCCATAATGATCCAGTATTTCTCGAGAATAAACCAAATATTTTCAAAAAAGGCGAAAAATACGCAGTAAACTAAGAAAATAATTCTATACTGCTATCAAAATCCAGAACTTAAAAAATCCTTAAATCAAAAGATAAGAAGCTATAAATGAAAGCTGGAATTCGGGGCGAGCTGCCACACCATCTCGCAACGCTTCATTTGCCATAAGTGGAAATCCCTTAATTAATGGCTAGATAGTGGGTTAAAAGCTCTGCGCAACCCTTTTTCAATAGAGAACCCTCAAATAGACGTGTGAGATTGGCCCTGCTGGATATTCTTTCCCAATATCGTCATTTTCTTTAGCTTACCAAAAGTATTCATCCAGAAAAGGTCAAACCATGAAATTTGCACTTTCTCCAGAAAAGACGTTATTGTCCTAATCAGTCTAATTAGGAGCTGAGAATTTATACCAAAAGAAATATTTCAACATCGTTAGGATTACTGTAAATGGTCCTAATTTTCGAATTTTTAAAGTACTCAAATACTGAGACATTGTAAATGGTCCTAATTTTGTAATTTTTAAAGTACCCAAATATTGAGACAGAGACAGTAATTTTGTAGCTACGACAAAATAAGAAAAACTTGAAGTCATCTCACTGTCTACAAAATCTAAGCAAACCTTTTCCAGGTGGCAGTGGAATGTCAAACCGGAATGTCCATAATCGAGCAAGCACCTGAGCCAGAGAAGAAAGAACGATTTGGCTTCATTGCCCGGATCTTCTCCAAGAAACCCCAACAGCAAGCACCAGCTCTCCAACCTTTGCAATTCTCCTCGAAAATGACAACCGACTGGACCAAAAAGCCATTGGCGCCAGTGCCGTGCAGGTTTGTGCTTCGCGTCAGCTTCATGCATCGAGCGCACTTTGCAGCGAAAAATCGATTCTTTGTATTCCACCTCACTTTTTTCTGTCTACATCTGCTGCTTAATTGCAAATTAGGTGGGTAATGCCATTTATGGGCCAGAACTGTCTGTGTGGGATCTCTTAAGGGGAGCAGGTGCTAACTTGGTGGTTAGTTAGTAAAGTCAATAGAAAACACCAGGGGGCTCGTTCCGTCATGGCGATCTATTGTGTTGAGTTGTCCCCGTTTGCCCTTAGTGAATAGTATCGATCTCTCTTAATTATCCTGAGTAAGTGTCACAACATGTCAAAAATTGCTGCGGGATCTTGACACTTGTAGTCGCTTGTGGATACTCCAATGATGGATGTTGCAAAAACAACTACATCATGCTTGTCAACTCCTTCACTAAGATTCCGTGTGAATTTGCCTAGATTCTAGCCAAATTCTTACGGTACTGTAATCTGACACTAGTTGGTAGCGTATTGTGCATCTGAAAAGATTCCCCCATTACATGAGTTATTGCGTAACTGAGACGCGTCATGCTTAATTGCGTTCTTTATCTCATCTTTGCATCGTCAGATTTCTCCTTTCATTCAAACTTTTCAGGTATCCCGTTGCACGCCGAGGACACCATGCTGAAGAACGAGAGCCTCGACGCCACCTGAAATGTGAACGAATCCAAATTAGCTCTTCTTCGGAATGCCTCAACTATGGTCCGATTGACCCACCTGAGTGCCTACCTGGAAAAGTGGAAGGTAAATTTGTTTCCAAAGTCACAACAAATCATTCTGATCCTTAATTCTGGAAATTTCATTAGAATGCACATAGGTGGTGTATCTAATTTCGCTGAAGATACGTCTTTACCTCCATTGAAACAGTGTGCAAACCTCCTCAGCCTCAGCAAAAATTCTTTGCTGCATTACAGCTTAGAGCTTCCCCGGGGGCTGAACATGCCAGTTCAGAGAAGCTATGTACACTTTACTGTTGAATAAAAAATTACTAGAGACCGGTTTTTCAGTTCAAAAAAAACTTTGTTGAAGTTGCCGTCGTTTAGTCTCAAATGTTGCTTGCAAGTTTTTGACCAACAGAGGGAAAAAATGAAGTTGGAAAATTGATATAAAGTCCATGTGTGTTCTCAGCTTAAACATTACCATTTGCGATATTAATCAAATTTCCGCACATTTGTATGCCGACCAAAGCAGAATTCATCCTTTCAGTGATTGAAGATATCCGAAGTCGACGCAAGCGTCGAACCAAACGTAAGGAGATCCGCACATCGACCCCAGTTGGCAACTCCGATTCCGCTTATTCACCCTCGCCGGTCACGGATTCGAACGAAGAGCCAGGCAGCCTCAGTGAGCCTGAACAAACAACGGTGAGGTTTGACTCCTCTTCTTTTGTAATCAGCGATTGAATCACGCTCAATTTTATTAGCCTGCATTGCTGCCGTTTAGGAAAATCACACCTACATGAATGTCGCCGCGCACAATTCCACGCAGTTCGAAGAAATCCCGACCGTGGTTTGCCCTCCTGGTCAGCCATACTTCCCGAATCATCTCTGATCGAGTCGAGATCTTCCTCACACGCTCTCCTAGTCGAGGCACTCGTCATTTACTTGGTTCCTCGGCGTCAATCAATATACATTGCATGCGGTTGTTGCCATTTTCCCTACTTTACATTGAAGCGTTCGTTCCTCTCAGTTATGTGATCGTCATCGTTATGTTTTGTTAAAGAATGTATACATAATACTATTGTCTCTTTGCATGAATATATAAATTATTTATTTAATTCTTTTGCGCCTTTGAATGGTTTGTCTCCAATACTAGTAATCGTAAAAGCTGCGAAAGCTAATTCAAACAAGGGATTTTGCGTGTCTGTGTATTTGTGAACGGCTGGGTGTTTATGCACATCCGGCAGGTGCTTGTGTAATCTGTGGATTTGCTAGCAAATAGGTTATCGTAGGGTGACCAGGCTATTAAAGGGTGTCGAGATGTGCACATCGGAGAAGTTTGTTGTTGAAAGTTAAAATTCGAACGCCGAATGCTATCTAGAGTGTGATCTTCAAGCTATCGCGGTGTCATCTCTCGTGTTCATAACATCAATCACAACCCAGTCACGAAGCTACAGTTTTTCTCTAGTTGGCTCTCTATTAGTTTTTTTTTCGCCATGCATATCAGCAAAAATACATCATTTTGAACACAGAGCTGCGGACGGTAGTAGTGAATCATGCTAGTCTCAAAACTGGTATAAATGTAAATCAGCGCTTTCGCGGGAGCTTTGACCAGGTTTTTGGCTAAAATATGATAAATTATGGCACGATGCCAAGTTGAAGTCCTACTTCAGTGCTATACGTTTTTTTCCTCGACAAATAGCAGACAAGCTTTGTCTAGTCACATTTTCAGTTCATTACTTGCTGATTTTGACCGTCGTTGATACGAATTGGGACCAAAGTAAGCACAAAATTGTTGTCAAGTAATTTGGGGGCTTTTTTGGCCTTCAAATTTTATACTTGCAAGTCTTTCTTAATGCCAAGATTTAGAATTCTCCGCGTAGAATTTCGCATATATAAAACCTGCACATTAAAGATATCATATTTGAGTCATTATGCAAAGTTAGTTGGTTTGGAAAGACATTAAGATGAAAAAAGACGAATTATAATATAAATAGCACACAGTTTTCTCTTTTTGATCGTAATCGGCAGACAGCGAACTGACGTTTTGGGTAATTGAGATCGTGGAGGGATGCTATCTTGAGGTCTATTTTCGGAAGGTGTTTGTCTCTAAAACTTACTAGATGGAACCCCAGACAACGATTTCACTTAACGTTTTGTATAATCACAAAGTAAGAAGGAATGGTATCACTGGCAAAGCGAATTTTGAATTCTTGTACAATGATCCTTTCCCACGCATCATATCACTGCTGGGATTATTTCTTTATCATATGACTCAACACGGCCCGCTTTGATAACTATTGTGTTATGTAATATTGCTACTGTGTTACATTCTCTTCCTTCCAATTTTCATTTTCTTTTCAAATGAACTATAATACATGCTAGATAAGTACATGACATTACGTACCTTCTCGCTCCGTAATAAAATAATGTGATCAATGAAATAATTGACATGTATCATCACACCTTGAATTGTGCAAACTGTTCTAGAATGTTTTGTTGCCAAAGATTTCCATGAGGTTGAGTAAGTCTCAAGTTTCCAAAAATTCATAGTCTCTTTCTTTATATGGTCGCTAGTTCAATACATTTAGGAGAGAAAAATTTGCTTTTCAACTGTACGTAGAATCAAGGTTTTGGCAAATCGGGGCGATTTGGTTCGTATTTTGCAAATTTTTCATTCAAAATTCTAATTATGTCAAGAGTGTTTTTGGACTTAGATTTTCACCACTCACTGCTTCTAGCTATGAAATTGGTGTGAGGATGGCTCTGCAAATAGCTCTGATTCTGATTTTTTCTAGTCAAATTTTGATCGCGTCTGATAGGAAATTTCTAATATGTTTAGTGAAATACTACATTAATTAAGCTCAATAATTGAAAGGTGTCATAAAAATTAGCGCTCCCCTGTCAAAAACGAAATCATAATTTTTAGTTCAAGATGCATCAAGCTAGGGGCTTCAGCCATAGTTTTCAAGCACTTAGCTCTCTTCACGCAAGGTTCCCTTGGTTTATCTCCCTCAACACTAAGTTTTTTGAGATAAAAAAAAACTGCACTGAAAACTAATGATGCAGAGACATACGTAACCCGCGATCATTTTTGCAAGGATCAAAGGATTATCATCTAATCAGATTTAGAACATTACACTTTTTGCTTGTTTGCGGTCTGATTCAGAGCTGAGTTTACAGACGGTCTTACTGTACCTTGGAACATCCTCTATCGCAGTTTCAATGTGGTCTTCTTGCATAAGCAACCACGAAATCGTCGGTATTTCGATATACTGCTAGTAAGACTTGCTGCTAAATTTGTTTGCAGGTAACCAACATCTCCCTATAGTTCAGCATCAAATATCAACACACTTCACTCAGGCTTTCTGTGGGGCTGTAGATGGAAGTGCCCGAGCAAGAGCTACCTCCCTCCTACGAGTGGTTCTCGGAACAGATTGCTGGTCATCATCCATCTGTGATAAAGAATGGAAAGCGGGAAATAGGTAAGCAATAATTTTTTGATGACATTATTGCCACGGTTTTGACTTTGCCCGCACCGCCTTGCATATACTTTACAAAAAAAACAACTACAGCCAATCACTTGCCTACGTCATAGTATAGCTTGAAGAATCGTAATTCTGATAGAAATTGCTGACTTTGATTACGGTTTACGAAACTACCGTAGATAGCAGATAAGCATTAAAGGAGAGGGTAAGGAAAGACTCAGTGCATCATTTGACGTGATTTCCTTATACTTCAAATTAATGGCTTATCAAAGGCCGTATTCAGCCAGATTCCGGTACCTGTATTTTATATATAGATGCTGATTGAGAAACCTTATTAATTTTTTGTTCGCGCGACAGCTCATATGATTCATTTCTGAGGAAAAAATGCGACAGCGTATTGTTTTCGAGCAATCAATCAACGTTTTCAATTTCAGGATGTGTCATTGCAAGTTTTTTATGTTATGAAAAATTCGTATGCGTCCGGTACTAACCTTTACAATGTAGGGTAAGGAGCATCAGAAAATGGATTTCCATGCACATGAGGTCGATCATGATAATTAGTGTGTTTTTACCGCTCTACAGTTATCGCCAGTGTCGCTGAAAACAAATCTGTAAATAGGCCAGATCACTTTTTTCATGGATCTGACATCCAGAAAGGCCACGGTTTTAGCTTGTCACCAAGTCGGGTAACTCTTAGGGACTTGGATGGAAAAGCTCTAGAGGTCGCGGCAATTATAACATCAAATCCAACATATCCTCATTAGCGGTTGGCTGCATTTGCTTTGGTGCCACACCCTTTGTATTTGCACAGGTGTTGCTTTTTGAACTCTGTTTACACTAACTTGCCTCCATCGTTGTTGCTAGGCCTTTAAGCTCAAAACTCTAGCAACAAGTCCATAATTTTCATCTAATTAGCTTTTTTATAGGTATTCTCAAGAAAAATGGCAGTGACAAGGTCCTAAAGCCAAAGCAAGATGGGCTACGCGGAGAGTGCGAGGTAATCATGACTGAAATATTTTTCATTTGCTTGATGCTTAACATTTTATCGGTCCGCGATTTGCAAAAAAAAGACGTTTTCTTATTTGTGAATTATCTGTCGACCAGACCTGTACAGAAGTATGGCCTTGCATTATCTCAGTGTGGTATCAGACATTTTCTTGTCCATGTCCGCATCCGCAGTTACGCAAGAAACGCGGAGTGACATCTTCAGGTCAATGTCTACAAGTTGGTGGAAAGAGCATTGCGTCATGGAACTTCCGGAGAAGTAGATTACGACGGCCGAGTCGAAAAGTAATAATACTACTCAGTTTTTGGCCATTATTTGAGCTATTTCTATTCTGCTATCTTTTAGGCCTAGAGGATGGGAAAATGTTAGAGAAGAGGATCTGAAGGGTTTGATTGAGTTGACTCCAGCCTTTTATGGTATAACAACTCTCTCCATCGATAAAGAAGGTGATACCAATTTAGTATTTGGCCTAAAGTATTCAGAATCAATCAATTAAACTTTCAAACCTGAAAATTGTGAAAATCCGAATAATTTCATCCGTGAATTTTCTTCCAACTTTTGCCTGCATTTTGAACTGTTTCGTTAGCAACTAAAAACCAAGACCAATTTGATTTCAGTCAAATCACCTACCAATGTTTTTTCTGAGCTGAATTGTTTTTTTACATTATGTACTGCTAAAATTTTCAGACCATGAGTTTATGATTCTGGAAGATATAACAGTTCATTACAAACGACCTGCTATTCTTGACATCAAAATGGGGAAGATCACCTATGACCCATTTGCAAACAAAGAAAAGCGAGAGAAGGAGTCTGGCAAGTACCCACCACAAAAAATTCTTGGCTTCCGGTTGTTGGGATATCGGGTTAGTAAATTTATTTATTCATCTGGTCTCTTCTCTTTCTTGGTCTTTCATTCCATAAAACTCGTTAATTGACATCCTCTGGCAAACTACGCGCCAGGTGTCATGTCTGACCGAGTGAGGAACGAGTTCGAGAAGAGATGACGGAACCATTCCGCAACAGCTGTGCGCGGTTTCCGCCGTCTTGATTCAAATTCTCAGGACTGAATCGTTTGCACATGGCAACAGTCGTGTCGGTGATCTCGATCCGTTGCCTAATTGCCGGTTATTCGGAGCAGTTGAAGTGATGGGAAAGGAATCGCCGGCCGTTTATGACGAGAGCGTTAAGATGCCGCGAAAAAGATAGCGTTGCCTTTTTTCCGGTCACAAATAAGCAAGAAGAAAGGCGATTATCTGTTAGTCTGTCAGCTTGTTAGAAATCACATTGGGGCACCGCTCTGTTCGAAGTACCTTCGCTTCTCATAGAATGACGTTTTCTTCATTACTGATATTTGTACAAAAAAGTGGTGTTCAGATGCATCGCAACAATGGAGAAGTGATAGTTAAGGATAAGGAATGGGGCAAAGCACATGATGAACACAACGTCCTTGATGGTAAGTGTAAATACGAAATGTATTAGATCACTCCGGAACCAGTACCTGTTCCATGATTTTCCCCAAAATCAAAAAATTCTGAAATCTGGTAATATATGGAAGCATAACTTGGCGATTTTGAATATACAGGGTGTCCCAAAAAAATGTTTAGAACGTTTGATCGGTAATATCTCTCTTCCCAAGAAGTCTTTTGCCTTGCTTCAGGTACCGTTTTGTAGAGCTGGCTTCAGCTTAGATTTCCATTATAGAACGAATCACCCATCTCTCTTCATTACTGTAGGGTTACGGTAGAAACTTCAAAGAGGGTTTTGAACCATGAAAGGCCATATTTTGCCTCAGAAAGGAAACAAAACAGCCTGAAAACTTTTACACCAGGCTAATTAGAGTTGCTGATTATAACTGTAAAGTTCCCAACTTATTATGATGCTTCATTGAAGAGTTATGCCAGGTGAGAGGTAGCGGCCTTTTTTACAATGTTCCTAAAAAGTGCGATTACACCGTTTAGAAAGCTTCTAATCTTGTGAATAGTTGAGTGTTGAACGCAGCGTCTATAAAAACCCTATTAAACAAGTTTTCACAATTTTTTGAAAAATTTTGAAACGGCAGCTTTTTCCATATTGACACCATATGTTTCAAGTTTCTACCGTAACCCTACAGTAATGAAGAGAGATGGGTGATTCGTTCTATAATAGAAATCTAAGTTGAAGCCAGCTCTACAAAACGGTACCTGAAGCAAGGCAAAAGACTTCTTGGGAAGAGAGATATTAACGATCAGACGTTCTAAACATTTTTTTGGGACACCCTGTATTGCAGATGGTCCCAGAAGTTGACGTTTTGGCCTGCAAAATTTCGTTATCGCTCGAAGTTTTTTCCGAGATCACCTGTTGGTGCCACGAGGCTACAAAATGAGCTGTAAAAAATCATACATGACTCACTACAAAAAAGCCTGTAATCCAGCATAGTGGAGGAGAGGGGGGGGGGGGGGGTGAAAATCTACTGCCATTCAGTTGAAAATTGCCCAGATAGAAACGGAGACGCTCGCGAAGAAAATTTTGAAAATTTACACTGTATGGATGAATTGTAAAAGAATTGCCTCGCAAAGCTCAAGCTTCTATCCAGTCTGTTTGGTAATCTCAAAACAACAAAAAAATTGCGGAGGTTGAAGAAACGCGGAAATGACATCCTGGTCTCATTTGAACGCTGCAGGAAGACAAGCTCTAATTTTATTGTTAGAAAGATGAACCAATGTTGTAACATCCTAGATTTTGTTACCCTTTTTGAGATTCAGGGCCCTCTCAAACTTGGTGAAATTCAAAAAAAATTGGGCTGACCAAGAGTTAGTCACTCAATTTTAATCAGCTTGAAAAGCTTGTATTTTTAGGCTTACACGAATTTTTCTCTGGACGGGGGACCGACCCGGCCGTAACATCTCAAGTGTTAGAAAAGATGGATCGGGTCAGAAAATGGTTTGCTGCCCAAAAGTCATTTCAATTCTACGCGTCTTCCTTGTTATTTGTATACGAAAATGATCCATCTTTACCGTCAAACGTCCAAATTGTGATGATTGGTGAGTTTTCAGGAATCAGGTTACTGTAATAGTTACATGGCAAATTCGCCTCAAACTCCAAAGCAAGAGTAGGCCTCACTCAATCTGTATAACGGTTCAAAATTGGCTAGAAAGAAGTGACGCACTAAATGACGGACATTTGGCATTCGGTGGCGCGCAAGCGAAATTGAATTTGGCGTGCCCGCGATGCTTGCAGTGAGCAATGGTTTTTTACTTTCTTTTCCAGAACTAGGAAAACACGGAAAGACGTGAGAACTAGGAAAAAACAAAAATCAATCGGTAGTTGCATATTATCCTTATTCGGTCTTACGCGACGTCAACTGCCAAATGCCCGTCATTTAGCTGCACGACACTTTCGCTGAAATTATTCTGAACCGGGTATGGTTGAATGTAGCACCTGGCAAGATGGTTTAACACTTGTCTAACTATTATACTTTTGATTTCAGATTTTTCTCACGTCTTTCCGTCAAATGACAAATATGATGTCAATTATATTCATGGCCTTGAGACATTGTATAGCAAATTGCAAGCACTCCACGATAGCTTCCTAGCATCATCGAAGCAATCTCATTAGTATGCTCCGCATTCCATAATAACTTGATATGCACTTACACCTATGTCCTTCTGATTATAAAACATATTATGAGCAACATTTATTTGAAGATTCATGTCAGTAAGTGAAAAGAGATTAACAAATATATGGGACAAGTGGACTTAAGACACGATAAAGCCGGACGGCAAACATCAGCCATTGTTCAGATTGTACAACGACTTGTTATTTACCCATGGTGAGAACATGCAATACCAGAAGGCAAAGATGAGATGCGAGGGTGAAGATCATCTGTTTGATTGTGTAGAGATCTCATTCCATGGCAAAATGTTCATACATGACCTCCATGGTATCCAAATCCAAAAGAACAAGTAGCTGAGTTTTTGAGAAGCGCGGTACAGCGATAGTGAGACATCGTTCTCCATTTGGTCCATCGTACCACTGAGATTCCGGTAGTGGTTGATTTCCAGTAACCATCACATGAGGAAATTCACCATCCATTATGAGCGGATCTCTAGAAAATGGAAGCCTCAATAAAATTGAAAGCTTTTGGAAATCCGTAGTCTTTATTTCTATCAAATCAAATGACTTATTGAAATGGAAACAGTGTGCAACTATTGGTGATTGAAACTTATATTGGGGAGCACATACTATAAGAGTACATTCAAGTGCATTTTTTCAAAATGTCGATCGCTTGAATGATGGGCCCCTTATGTTCAATAAATAAGTTGAGATGTTTAATAAATAAGTTGAGAATTAAGGACGGTTTGATTAGAAAACATAAAAAACATAAAAAGAATTTTTGATAATCGTGAGAAACAATTTTTATGCAGTACAATTTTTGAGAAAGTTGACTATTGCTGTAGGGTAAATCTTCAGTAATCAGTATAGTGGCAATTATTATGGCAGCTCACCTTTTGTCGAACGGAAACCCGTCTACCGTATCCGGGCAGGTAGGTGCGACATGTTGCCATCGGAGGAGATTTTTCATTAGCTCGCAACTCGACGTCACAGCACTTAGTCGTCGTAAATCGGATACATTTTGACCTTCAATTACGTGTCACTTTGTCAATACTCCATTTTTTACAGAGATCATCTTTTTTGCACTTTAGTGATGATTTTCCCGAGATTTTGCCTTATGTTCATCCTTGAACAGTACTTTCGTTTTTATGAGGTCAAAACGCATAATTCGGCCTTTGAATAAATAGGCGAACTATGCCATCGAACTGAAGGACGCGTAAGGAGCCGCGAGAACGATAGCCTACTGCGCAATCCTAATTACCTATTACGGCTACGCGCGGTAATCATGGTCACTGCAGTAGATATGCGGAAGATCTCGAGAGATCAAGATTATGATGCACTGGGGACAGACGTAGCTTGATCAAAAAAAAAGAGAAAATTATCGAACCTGAAGTGACAAGGAAGTCCAAATCGGCAAGAGTGAACTCGTACGGATTCGTTACGAGAGATAAAGCTGCACCGCTTACAGAGCTTCTTGGTAGGCAAGCTCGGTGTATGGGCTGTTGAGGCATCTGTTGTACGCAGGGATCACCGATACCAGGAATTAGATCCACTTTGACTCGGTTCTGTAAGTTCATCCGTGATATGAGTTTTTAGGAAAAAGAAGATTAGCACTTATTAAAAAATCAATGCAAAAAATACAGGGTGTCAAAATAAAAATACAGGGTGTCCAGAAAATGCGCCTACTATTTGGTTGTTGTTAACTTTCTTGTCGCAAAGTCTTTCACAAGTTATAGGTACCATTCTGAGAGCTAGCTCCAGCTTATATCTGCAGTAGTGCGAATCAAAAATTTCCTCATTACTGTAGGATTATGGTAGGAACCTCGAGAAAGGTTCTGGGAGTAATAAGGGACATATTCTGCTCAGAAATGAAACGAAACGACCTGAAACTCTCACACTAGGCTAATCAGATTTGTTGATTCTAAATATGGGGTTTGCATTTCATTATAGTGCCTTCTTAAAAGCTGTACCATATGAGCAGTAGCAGCCGTTTTTTCAAAGTTGCCAAAAATGTGGTTAGTTTAGAAAGCATAACTATCGTGTACAAAACTGAGTATCAAACTTGGCACCGAAGAAAAACCTATTACACAATTTTCAGATTTTTTTTTGAGAATTAATCCAAAGTGGCAGCCTATAGCGACGCCATAGGCCAAAAGTTCCTACCGAAATTCTTCAGTAATGAAGAGCGATTGGTCATTTGCTCCATACTGTAACTAGGTTGAAGCCAGCTCTACAAAATGTTACCTGAAGCTTTTCGAAAGACTACATGACAAGGGAGTTACTAACAATCAAACAACAGGCACATTTTTTTGAGACACCTGGTATTTTACTTTTTCTGATAAAGGATGATACTGGGAAGGCAGGAGAAGATTGGAATATCATGGAAATCAGATATCTATGAAAGCTAGAATTGTGAAGCTGAGCCATTCACAAAGTATTAATTTTCCATATGACCATAAAAGTATTAATTTTCCATATGACCATAAAAGTATTAAAAGTATTAATTTTCCATATGACCATAAAATAATCTCATATAAAAAATCCTTTTTCGATAATGATGACCCCTACAAGCATTCCACAGACTGGAATCTGATGCTCTTATGTGATACTTTCTATTCTTACATCTAGTCTACTTATTCTTATGTTAGACGATGTGTGAGCCTTCTCGCCTATGCAAATCTGGCGCTAATCCCTTGATAACATATTACCGACCCATAACAGATGACGTTTTCATTACCCTTTTTGACTGACCCAGTGTAATACGCTCAATAGGAGAAATGGAAAGACTTTGTTGAAGATGGATACACCACCGAGTAAATTAATTAAATACTTTTCTATGGGATTTTCTAGCGTTTGCTTTCAAGATGATGTAAAAATTCAGTAGAATCAAACAATCGCAACTATGGCATTTACGACTTACAAGAAATACTAAGACAGCGAGAAAGACATATAGGCTTCAAACTATATCTAATAAAATTTCATGGACACCCTAAAAGCCCAATCAGCTTCCCCTTTTTGTAAAAGAGTAATAACTCCGACATGCGCAGATTGCTTGGATGTAAGATGCATCAACACTCCACTTAATCCCGTATAAATGTGATTTTGCTCTTGGACAAAGATTATCTATCTCCTTTGTAAAAAAAAGGTACGAGTCACTCTGATCGAGAGCAGTTTTACCGATGAGCCAGAGTCTAGATAATTTCTCAGTCTTTTCCCAATTTGCAATCTTAATCCACACTTTCACGCGAATCTCGGAAAATCTCACCGATACTCTGCTAAGTAGAGCGTCCAGCACACCGATAGTTTCCACATTTGATGAAGCCTCCTTGTAGTTGAGATTGAGGTAATGAACAGCAGATGCGAATTCATGGGCCTGAAATGATTGCACTTTCAAATATGGATTAAAACAAAACAAGACTTTTGATAGAGAAAACGCAAAATTACTTGGCTTCATGAGGAAAAAGCTGATAGAAAAAAACCCAAATCTAGTTGAGATTGCATAAAACTGCTAGAAAATCGATGGATTCTAAGAAATGTACGAAATCCACCCTTTCTAATCAAGAACTTGTGGCTAATATAAAGGATAAATAATCATTTTTGGTTTTTTTCTTAATAAGATTTCTAGAGTTCTGAAAAGAGCCTCTAACATGATAAAATACAATATGATTCATGACGAAAACATTTAAAACCTATGAAACTTTTCCTAACATTTCTAACGACCTTCCCAGAATTTTCGCTTATAGGACAACCCAATACTGTGACAATGGCGGCAACTCTTAGCAAATCTTTTGAGCAGCTATGCTTAAGCGAACAATAGAGAGACTAAAGGTGCAAAGCAAGCGAATAGCTTTAGGCATGGCTCGCACGTTTCAATGTCCTGTCACCTCTTTTCGAGCAGAAGAACAATGCGATGTGATCGATGTTGTTTTTGATGTTTCGCATTATGCTCAGCGAATGCGAGCACAGACCATTCAGCATCAAGGGACGATCCGTAGACGGGAAGATAAAGGAAAAATAATGAGTCTAAGAAATTTGGTATAAATGGATGACAAAAATTTTTTTCAAGGTTCTTGAGCAGATTTGATCAGAGAGACAATGACTCCCTCAACTTTATTAGAAAATCGCTCAGAAAGCTGGAACCATCGGAGAGGCAAGACCAAGACCATTGGAATCGAAAACAAACAGAAGCATAATATATGTACACTTCCAAATCAGTAAGTGGTACAAGTATTAGGTTGTCCCGAAAGCTTTGCCCGTTTCTCCAAACTACTATAAAACCACGCACAATAAACACCTGAATGTGTTTCAACACGCATTCGATGCAGCTTTTCCTTCTCTTTCTTATGGATACATTTTCGAACCACTATCTTATATGCCTTTTTCGATAAATGCCAAAATTCTCCACTCGTCAATTTGATCTGCTCATAATTAGGCTAATTTTTCAAAAATTCATTCCAAAGTTTCAGGAAAGGTTAAGAATGGATCAAATGAGCGATTGTCGGGCTACAAGGAAATATTTTCGAATTCTTCTAATCTACTGTCATTAGCTTCAAAAAAATGTCTCTTCGGAGGCCTTGATTTTTGGCAAAGTCATGAAACACGCAACTGCAGCAAATGCACGAAACGTTTTGAAGTTTCTGCGAACTTAAACAGGATTCTCAACAAATATTATTTATGCAACATAATCAAGTTAGATTTGCTTTCAAAAAGCAGCTTTTTGGAATTTTCGGCACTTTTACGTGGTAAACGTGATAAATAAGCCGCGGTTTTTATTGAATAAATGATTATAACGGACTTGGTTAACGTGAGCCATGTAATCTAAAATGGATACAACGTAGCCAAAGAATTGCTCTACGTAAAAGCTACTATCGCGCTCTGAAAACATTAGGATAAAAATTTTTAAAATTCAGGAAAGATTTGGCGTCACTGCTGAGCTGCTCAAAAAGCCATGGCGATAACATTGCAAAGACAGGGTAGATCAAAGAGCAAACATAGCTGCAAGAGAGAGGATTAAGGATTTGAATCAAATGGTACCTAATTTGTCCATGGATTGGTTGTTCTGTGAGTTTTAGTGAGCGATAAAAAAAGAAGAAAAACTTTCGGGACATCTAATAAATATAAAGGGTGACATGAGCATTGTAAAAATTGCATGCTTCTGCCTGTGAACTCCATGGATAAACAGCAATAAAAAAATCTCGGAGACGGATTGGCAGAGCTACAAATTCCATTAAAGTTTAGAACCATCTTATGTGCATCCCTCCCTCTCTTTGCTGAAGAAAGGGAGGGATGGACAGCCAATGAAAGACTTAAATATGAAATTTGATTTTGAATATAAACAGAGTAAAAGACTCTGAACTGTCATAAAATCTATCAAAATTAATGCAGTACTCCAAGCCTACTCTAACGCACTATACTCTTGCTTCGTCATATTATTTGACTCGAGCACTCATAAAATCAGCAGTGCTTCAAAATTAAAAGAAGGCGAAAGCAGGGCAATCATCGGAAAATCCATTCGCGGATACCAGAAGCACAGATTTTCTCATGAGGAAATTTTAGCCACTCTCACTTGCCCAACAGCGATACTTTCTCCTAATACAACAAGCCGTTCCACGCGAGTAGAGAGAGATGTAGGATCAACTTCATCAGAGATTTCATTGTTCAGCCAGCGAGACATCAACTCGAAAGCTGTGGTGACTGCGGTCTGAACGGACATAGAAGATATCTAGTTTTGAGGACCAAGTGCGGAACATAACGTCAGAATCCTCACGTCATTTACAGCATCACCAGTGAGCTCGAGACCAGAGATAAAAGCAACTACTCCTCCAGTTTTAGCGGTTGGCCAAGGACGCTGCGGGCATGGTGTTGGCCAGATAATCTTCTCGACGTTGAACACATCAGATTTGACCTGAGAGGTCTTCATTAGCTGGAATTGACAAAATAGTCGGTAGTTACTTGAGATCCGTACAGTCCCGCAGTACACCCTGTTGCCACTTCATCCATGCTGATATTGCCCTGTAAAAGTACATCCACTTTAACCTGTCACAAGCTAAATGCAACTGCCACAAAAATCCCTTTAGCTTGTTTTTGAAGATAACTTTGTTTTAAAGGCAATTGGTTGCTCAAATTATTTTCGAGGGTACCGCCAAACTACGTAAAAGAATTTTGAAATTTTGGATGCATCTTAATTTTCTTCAATTTTCAGACTGCTGTCAGATGATTTTCCGGCTGTCAGGTAAACATCTAAAAGTATTCAGAAATTTATAACGTTCTAGAGTTTTGCAAATTCCTAAAGGAGGTCTTACACCCCAGAATGTCTCGCGAACTGAAGTTCTGAACTATGAGATGTGACTAACGCCCATTTGCGGATATGTGGGTAAGTATTCCGGAAAAGCAGTTATTCGTCATCTAATAAATTTAAACAGCTAGTGAGACAAGATTTTATCTCCTTTTTTCAAAGACTTGTACCACCGAAGTAGGACGCATGCATTAGTGACAGACGGAAAAAGTGCGCCTCGCAACGTTCTTCAGAAGTGTGGTCATCCATGCAAAGACAAAACTTTTGTGTTTTTGCATAAATAAAAAGAGTTAGAAATAAGACTACTAAAATGACTGGAGACGTAAACACAGAGTTAATGCTAGTTCGACACTTGAGCCTATTCAGGCTAAACACATATCGTAAGCTGAACAGTCTCAAAGCCCCTCAAAATACTCTACATATTTACTCTGCTCATCCTTAACCTCACTCATCAAAATGAACTTCAGCAATTTGCCTTATAATCAACTGACCGACTCTAACACGAGAAGCTGCTAACCTCCAATTTAACAATTTGCTTCTCGTCTTCAAACTCAAGAAAGTCCTTGTTCGATACGATTGATACCATTTCATCGCCATCATAATCCTCCGGGACGATCAGCTCTTCTTCGGCAATTTCCTGAACCATAAACATGATGAAAGGGAGCACTAAAAGTAAGCAAAAGTGCCATGCCTTCAGCACACCAGGTCGCTGGTTTATCCTCTTCTCGATTGTCCCGATAACAAACGCTTTCTCGAACATTTCCAAGTCTTCCAACTGTTTGTATTCAACATTGCCAGCTGCAAAGCAGAAATTGCACAAAGATTTGCTGGTCGTATGTTTTTCAACATACCGAAGCACTTCCTTTCTCGTTACAAAAGAGCGTTGCATTTGATTGTTTTGATTTTAAGATGTGCTAGAGACTCAGAGCCCGATTTCTCCAGTTCGGGCTCTGCTGCCCGTCCGGGATGAGCGCTCCGGAGGCATAATTGGGTTCAAAGTAATGTTTTGCTGATAAGAACAGCATATTTAGAATCGACGTCTCAAGCTTACTTTGAATTTACAAGTCTCTTTCGAAAATCCAGGCAAAATCGGGTGCATTTCCTTGTCACTTTGGGAGATTGATACAAACCGCCCGCGGGTTATAATTCTAGCGAGGTTCTTGTCTCAGAAAGGCAAGAATGCAATTTTGTAAGAAAATCCTCGAGTCGCTGCCCTACGCATTGCGAGCAAAGAGATTTGCTACAGGTTCAAGAAAAAAGAAAGGTACCAATTTACGTTCGAGAGTTTTGATAGTGATTGCTCTTGTTTACAATATGCAGCGGATTGCAGTGGAATTATGGCACAAAAAAGTTTTTTTTCATGCCAGAAACTGAATGAATAGGCCAAGTGGATTTTGTTTCTGGCGCTTTTGCAGTCTGTCTAATAGGAAGCAACGTTGAATCAAGAATTACTTTCGATCGCTGTTGAATCGAATCCTCAATGTCAAAATTTGTTGACACAATTTTGATGATTTATATGCATATAATACAAGTTCCCCGTTATTGTGCCATAATCGCAAGCAGCACAACGACTGGGAACTTTTGTGGTGCTCCCGGATCTTAATAAAATCGAAATAAACGGGTAAAATGCTATTTAAGTTGCAAAAGGTAAACACCCATGATAAGTAGAGCATGTCAAAATTGCTATGACCAGACAAGAAAAACTTTTGATCAAAGGCCCTTTCCAGATGAATTCCATAAAACTTTCGAAAGCATTGAACGTTGATCCTTATTTTTCGCATATCTCCTGTGCTCCTTCGGGTGAAGTGTTGCTAGGGTTCTTTTAAACGAAATAATGAATCCAACTCTAATAAAGATCGGTAGCGTCCTTTCAGCGCTCAAGGAGGGTGGAGATTATAAGTATACAGACAGAAGGTAACCATTGCATTGAATGCCTTGATACTCAAAACTGACCCATTTGGGCGGAATGTTTTCCTTGTTGCCCGCTCAATTTTTCAAAGGAATCCAGAGAGCGAGGGCAGACTTAACATCAGCTTTCAATACCGTCCAGAACGTTACAGATTTCATCTGGAAAGGCTGAGCCGACCAGAAACACTTTCCTTGTGAGACTTTTTGATTAGATTCTCAAAACAGTAATTAACAGTTGATGTCTTCATGTTTTTGAGATGAAAAGGAACGGATCTAATCCATAGCAAAAAGTAGTCCGTCCAAGCCATTCACCAGTGCCAGCTAAAACAGTTTCACGATTCATCCTCGCGAGCGCGGAACGGAAAGATAAGAGGATGGAGATTTCATCAACGACATTATTAGTTTAGAAGTTTGATACTTTTCACTTTCGGGTATGCACAAATAAAACTTTAGACGTGGAAGGAAGGGGAAGGAGACTTCTTCGTCCATGTTTTTCGTCAGGGACCTTTGTAGCACGTATATTACTAGAGTGTAATACTGAAGTGTAGGCATTGCGCATGTGCTACGGTCGAGTTTCGATGATTGGGATAACGGTCAACTCTATCGCTGGTGCATTAACAACTAATGATAGATAATTTTTTGAGACTTCATAACTATTCTCATTATTTACAAGTAGAAGAGATACAGCAACCGCAAAAAGTAGCAGACAAGCCTTTTTCCCTTTTTCGTCGCTCATTCAGATAGAAAAGATGAAAATGATTTGACTACATGAGATGACAGAGTTGTTCTAGCCATATTCACAGATAACATTTTCTACATAACATGTTCTAAGAGAATCTTTTCTCAAAAAAAAATTCAAAAACATTTCTTCGAACGCATATATGTTCTTTTGTGTTGTCCGAACAGTTAAGCATACTACAATATAGATAGAGCTCATCAAGGACTATAATCCAGTTATGGTAACTCCCTAAAAGACATAACCTGAATTTTTATTTTGCATTGAAAGTGACTTCTGACTTTCTATTTCAACCCAACTTTCTTCCATGTAAAACGATCCCGAACATCCTAACAAAGCTGTCTGGATGAAAATGAATGCTCTTCACCAATTTCTATGGATCGGCGTGAGCTAGTGAGTTTTTTTGCTGAAAATGTTTTTTGAGTGCGTGCAAATGACCTCGGCTTCGCAGGCTTGCAGCTCGGCCAGCAGTCATTTTATGACTTGTAGGTGGCTCATTCGAAAGGACGAAACTTTCTCAACACGAAGATATGCGAAATGCGCTTAAGAAATCCTGGGAGTTTTAAGAATGGGTTGAAAAAGCGAAGGCTCAGAGGCGATCGGAATGAAGGCTCGCATCTTATCACAAAAGTATTGTCAGTGAACTTCCAGGACGAAATTGGTAACGAAAAGAGCTTTGCTTAATCTCGGTTGAAAGATCTAGTCTACCACAGTAGCTGCGCTTTTTCAACCCATTGTAAAAGTTCCACGATTTTTTAAGCGCATTTCACCTGCATATCTTCGTGTTGAGAACGTCTCGCTCTTCCGAATGAGCCTACCTGCAGGCTCATAGAATAAGTGCTGGCCGAGGTACAAGCCTGCAAATTGGTACAAGTCAGAGGTGAGGTGCAAGTGAGGTCATATGCACGCACTGCCAAGATCATTTTCAGCAAAGAAATTCAATAGCACACGTCCGTTGTATATAAAGTGAATAAGACCTTCATTTTCCACAGACAGCTTTGTTAGAATGTTTGGATTTGGGACTTTCAGATGTTTTCGACTTACCAGGAGAAATTTGCTTAAAAAGAGGGAATTATCACTTTCTAAAATACAAAATAACCAAGCCTGGGTTTTTAGGAAGTAACCTAAAAGGATTGTAGTTCCCTGAAGAGCTCGATATATACGTGGTATGCTTACTGTTCGAATTACTTGTGCTCCCGCTTCAAAAAAAAAAGCACTCAAAAGAAAATTTACGCGGTTGAAAAATTGTTATCCGACATTGTGACGCCATTCTTGGACTTTTTTGATAAAAAATTTTTGAATTTTTTAGAATCATGCTCTCTAGTAAATGTATTTCTGGATGGTAGCTCTTGAAGAGCTCATAATCTTATGCAATCAGACATCTTTCACCTTTGTTTTCTATCCAAAAATGAGCGATCAAAAAAGGAGGACGGCTCGTCCGCACTTTTTGACGATCACTGTGCAGTCCGTCTCAATGGCAATCAGGCCAAAATAGGCATGACGGGAGTCCGCGTCGCGTATTTCTGTGTCTGCTCTCCAGTCTCTTTGCTCTCTCCGGCAGCGCGCATATGCAGCGCCAACCGCTGGCGCCGCGCGAGCCAACGGTCCGGCCTGATCCCATTGGTACAGACTGTATCTGCAAGTTTACGGGTCATGCAGACTATTTCGAGAAACATTATGGCCCTTTCCCTGGAATGGAGAATATAAATACACGCTTTTGCAAAACTAGGTCTGTTCTTCAAGGACACTTGAATTGCAGCCTATAAAAAAGCGTGTTTCCTATTGCACAATGAGAGATTTCAGGCACCGCTTGCAAAAACAGTGCCATGAGAATTGAGTAGTTTGTGGAAGCTGCGCCTACAGGCACTATTTCCTTCTTTGCCATGGTGGCAGCAGTGGCATGGTTTCGGCCAACCTTACAGGCTCAATGAAGCTCAAGGGTCCGAGCATGATGGCAGCTTGCTCGCATGCATGCAATATTTAAAACCTCAGATTAACGCAGACAAGTTCTCAACCTGTTCTTGTACAAAAGACACGAATAGGAGCTGCTTTTGTTCTTCAATACTGAAGAAGGGATGTATGAAAAAAATTATACTGATGCTATGCTTGGGGTAACTCAGACAACTGTAAGTCGATATTAGCATCTATCGATAAAAAAAAGAATTGCGCTGTTTTTTGAGATTACCGAACTACCTAACAGTCTGTATCAATCACGTGCTCCCCTTCCTGTGGGCGCAATGAGCTTCGCGCCACGTTCACGCGCATATGGCCCGGGCATTCGAATTCGCATCATCGATTAGGGAGCCGCACGCAGGACCCTTGCATTGCGCATGCGTAGTTCCCATGCGAAAGGGAGCACGTAATTGAACTGACTGAATGTGCGACACATTCGTTGTGCTTGTTGAATTTGCAACCTGTTCTTACTATGCATTTTATCACAAGAAGCAGCAAAGCTTACCAAGAGCATTTTTGCAAGCTGCGACAATTCTTGGTTTCAGTAGTTCCAGTCTGGTGGCATAAACATGGTAATATTGTCGTTCAAAAGCGTCGTGTTTATCCTCCGCGGTTAAGCGATACTTCTCTGACCTGTTGGTGTAACTGAGATCCTTGCGCTCCAACTGAACCATCTGCAAGAAGCAACAAAAATCTCAAATCTACTTCTTAGAAGCTCTTTGCATTCTAGTATGCTGTAGCACAGATACACTCTTCCTAGATATTTCTGAAAGGGACACCCAATACTCTTCAGAAAGTAACTCAGATTTTTCGGTAAAAAATTTGCAGGTAAAATTTTCCAGTACTGAATGCTGCCCCACCCTCAAAGTCATCAAAACCTTCACAGTCATCTGCCATATTCCCTCTGCTGTCCCCATTCACGTAGCTTTTACTTGAGAAAAGCATTCCCGCATTTTCAAATTTTGGCACTCATAATCGCAAGACAAATACACTTGACTAGACAAAGCATTGGCTACTCATAAGGGTAAAGACCACTTCATTTACACGATCGACTGCGGGCACCATAAAATAAATAAACGAAAAAAATCTATAACTGTAAATACACTCCCTCCCCAAATGTCCAGACAGATAAAGTATGGCTATGATGTAAGACAATAAATCATAGACTTTTAGATAACAGCAAAGGCAAAACTCATCAGCTATACTACTCCTCTTGAATGACTTCGTTAATACGAGTTGTTTACGAAGAACACAAGCGTACCCAGCTTATTAGACGCGCCATATTAGAAAGAATGCCAATGATAAAAACAAGTCATAAGAGAGGAAGACGAGCGCGCTTATCACATCAAACAAGACATAGACTTTCTTTAAACTAGCATACAACAAGTAAATTCCGTCAAAGAACAGGCAACATAGTAACAAGAGTAAACAATGTATCACAAGAAAATGGGCGATACATAAGGGTTTTTACGAAAGAAGATTCCTAATTTCCCGATGAATATAGCATAAGAAGTCCACGTAAGACATGACATTTGGTCCAGAGCGATCCTAAAAACGAAGCATTGAGAGAAGAGAAGGATAAAATTGATGTATTGCTTGCCTCAACAAAGAATTTCTTCATCCATGGCTCCAAAGCGTCCTTTTCACGAACGACAAACAATTTTCGATTCCGTGGGCCGACCTTAAGTGGATGGTGAAAGTAAGCGGACAGAGAAATGACTTCTGCCACAAACCTCCTGGAGCAGCTCAACAGCTCTCCGCAATCCTCTTGATCGCGCATTATCCTTCTCGGGAATTTGAGCCTGTGATAAATTGCTTGGAAGGTAAACTTAAGTATTCAAAAACATGATGTTTCATATGAAAAACTGAGATTCACATATGTAAAGTCAGGGCAAAACTGATAGAGATGAGAAAAAAGAGACAGAAAATAAACAAAATTAACCACTGCAGAACAGAAGAACTGAGACTTACATTCTCTGTATCCAACATAGCCACATTGTTCACACCAAACACGTCTTGTACCCAAGCTTCCGCAACACCAAGCCCCACCCAAAGGAAGAGCACTATCCCATTGTCTATCAGATACGCCTGAAACAGCAGATTAAGGGTACCCCACAGGAAAACACATTTTACCTTGGTGTGGTCGAGGTTTTCAAAGCTCGCTCTAATGCAGCCAGTCACGCTAGTCATCTCCGAAGGGTCGTGCAATTCCAAGTGATCAACGGGGATGATCCTTCGAAGATTATGTTATTGAACTGAACCCACTATCAAACAGGACTGACTTTGGATATAGAAGCAGCATGGCATGATCTACACGCATTCCACGAATCAGTTCTATCATCCATACTTTGTCATCCACGGTCATTTCGCTGCCTAAACCAGATTGTGTTACGAAGATGAAAGCGAATTCGGAATGTATGCCGACTAAGGAGCTATGTAAAAATGAGAGAAGACAAAGCAGATTCTGTGGGCAAACTAAGGAACTATGTAAAAATGATGGGATTTATTAGTTCACGGACGCGCGATAAAAAAGCATTTATCACTTCCCTTAACAGTAAAATCTGATTGTCTTCAGGATATTATCGCTTTGATGGAGTGAATAAGAAATAAGTTGGAAGTTTGCTAACCACCATTTATTGCGTCGTTCTTGACGATAGAGTTCACAAAAAGTGGTAAAAGCTTGAGCGTCTCGGGAAGTATGAGTTGTCCCAAAGGAGCTGATTCGCTGACTTTTTCTCTGAAATGGGGAATACGAAAATGAATTGGAGAACTATAGGTTGAGCACCTGTAGGTAGCCAGGATCTGCGCACAGCGCTGGAAGATCTGGTCTTTCATTTCCTTATTACCTTTCTCGCGATTTGCTTGCACAGCTATAACAAAATAAAGTGATTTAATGAAATCACGTTGAAGAGATCAAATCTGATTACCGTTCTTCAACAAATACGATACGAGCGCATTTTGATCAGCCACTCTATAAAGCTGGTTATAATCTGCCGAAACGGGCAGACATATGTTCAGGATGCGAAGTCGGCGTTGCCCGCTCACGGATGTGAAAAGAATAGCGCACTGAAAAAATGCGGAAGTTTCACACTCTGCCATTTATCACTTGATAATCCTACCTGGATAATAGCGTTCTGGTCTGTCAACTTATCGTCATGTTTCAGTTCAGCAAAGAACGACTGAAGTATGAAATTTTGGGACGAAGGCGACGAAATCACATAGCGAAAGAACTTACCTTATCTTCGTCAATGGAAGCCATCTCCAGGTCTGTGGAATTTTCCATATAGAAGGAGCCTTGGAACAAAACGGGCCGGATACCTTGAGTAAATTGTAAAATGAGATTGTAAACCACCATAAATTAGTCATGTTGTGATCATTTGTAAAATCATTACCAGCACTAGATCGAACCCTAGCCATACAATCAAATGCTATTTGACGTGAGATGTTGTGATTAAGATCAGCAAGGAAACGACCCGAATCTTTGTCGGCCTTCAAGAAAAAAACTCAATACCTCGTTCTCAAAACCCAAAAGTAAAACCAACCACAAAATACTGATATTTATAGACATTGCCTCCTGTGACGGCAGACAATTGAGATATCGAAGCGACGTCAACAAAAGAATTCGGAAATAGGAACAAATCCACCGTAACACCAGCTTTCACACACTGTTCGCCGAGTTTTGAATAAAATTCACTTTGAGGAGTAAGAGCCGTCTAAATGCAAGCATAAGTGAATAAATGGGCAACGCCACAAAAACAATTCGATACCTTCTCCTTATCTGTACCAAGCAAATTTCTTTCGTTCCTAGCTTTAAGCTTTCCAGGAGCTTCATAAGTTGGCAGCGAAGTAGTGAAAATCACCAGTTTTCCAGCTCGATCAGCACACTAAAAGTGAGCATCAGCTCGATACTATGCCCCAAAGCACGTAATCTTCGAACTCATAGGGATCAAAATCTCGTTTAGATTAGTGAACGAATATTGCCTTTGTTAAGATACAGCAGTAACATAACAAACCTGAAGTGCGTCTAATCCAGCCTGTACTACAGGTCCTAAGATAGTCTCAGTAAGTCGGGATGGAGCGAAAATTCTGGGGATTTCTGCCAACACCGCGCGGATTGATTGTGCAGCTTGAGAGTACGGAAGAAGAAGACCATCAACGATAGGCACAAACATGTCATTTACATCACCTAAAACAATCACTTGAAGCTAAGAGAACCGAACGTACGCATACTTACCCACTACCATCATAGCCGGTTGTGCAGCAGACAAATCGAAGAAGTGCACAACTTGATCAAAGGTAGCGATACCTATGTGGATTGTTGATTCGCTGGCACCCAACTCTCTAAAATATCAACTTGAAAACTTTTTTCTAGTTTATAAACGACTAAAAGGTTAAGCTGAACAAAACAAAATGGCAGATGGTATTTTTGTGGCCGAAAGCTTCAAATGATCATCGATAATAAGCAATGTTTCCAAAGTTGAAAAAAAAAACGAACCTTGGCAATCGCTGGAGGAGCTTTTCTAAATTGGAGCAAACAACTTGTAGCAATCCATTTTGCACGGCATTGTATGAGACATCGATCATGAATATGAACGCTGGCTCTTTCGGAGGAAGACCATTCTAGGAGCAGTCGAAATTGGACGGAATTCCGAGCATAACAAAGAGGGAAGATACCTTGCAATACTGTTTGGTAGCAACGAATTCGTATGCTCCTAAAAACAGCTCAGGACGATGTTCGATGTCCGTGCGTCGTCCGGTATGATCCAGATGAGCGAAATAGACGTCTTCCACTGCAAAAAAAAATCAGCGATTACGTGCATGAATGAAAAGTGGAGGATTTGATGTCTGCAGTACTCTCTGCAAGCTGTGCCGATCGCGCTCCCTTTGTCGAAGAGGGAGGTCATATGCTGTCTTAATGATTCAAAAGCGAACAAGCTCACTTGCAATATTTACAGATTAGTCACACTGAACTCTGGAGATTTTCAATCACTCAAAAAATTGTAATTTGGCCAATTACCACAAAAAGAAAAATGTTGGTGAAGATAGATACATGTACAAAATCTCACCTGCTGTGGATGCATGACAAAATGGGCAACGGAAACGTCTGCCACCATCTTGGAACTCCATAAAAGGACACATGTAGGCCTTGCAACGATGACATCTAACTGGACCTCCTGGACCTAAGTCGATGATGGGAGGAGGACGCTAAAAGTGGTTACCTTAGTTCATCATATCATTTAGCCTAAACCCAACACACCTCTTGAGGATGAAGCGCAGCAAATGGAGAGACAGCTACAGCAAATGGGATTTGTGCAGTTTTGAGTAAATCGTTTGATGCAGGTGCCATATACATCGTGGATCGCATCAATCTTGGGGAACAATTTCCTGCAATAACTCATGGATACGCACCACCTTATAAATAACATGAAGCACTGCAGGAATACAAGATTAGAGTTCTTACCTTGGTCAACAGCGTAGAAGTCTGTGGAGACAAGTGGAGGAGGGTTGGCAGTCGGGTAACCTGCACAAGTATAAGAATTGAAAAAGGCAAAAATCGATAAGAAAAAATAAAACATCAGCAATAAGTTGATTGAGATCAAAAAGTTCTGTTCTTGAGTAAAAGTTCTGATTCATTTACCTGTGGGGAACTGTCCAGCTTGAGCGGAATCAATTTCCATAACTTCCACCTATAAAAGTAACATTTTCTCATGATCTCAGAGGCAAACGGATGATTACCGCGCTGGGCATCATGTTAGGATCGAGTCGCTGTTGAGGTTGCGGTTGTCGTGCTTGCATTCCCGGAGCACCAGGAAATCCACCAGGCATACCTCCAGGCACAGGAGGAAAACCTGGTGCCATCGGTGCTCCTGGTGGACTCATAGCGCCTGGCATATGCGGCATCTGAGGAGCTCCTCCCATAGGTTGTTGACCCATCACTAAATAACGAGTTGACAGACAAGACTGAGACATCGTTTCTAGAAACACAAAGCTCTAAATCCACTCACTTGGTTGTCCAGGAAGACCTGGTGGTCCCGGAGGTTGTGGTGCGCCTGGAGGGGCGAACCCAGCGTGAGGTGCGGGTGGCATGCCATGTCCTGGAAACCCTGCAGGAGCTTGACCGGGCATTTGAGACGGGAAATTTGGCATTCCTGGTGGTCCGGGAGGTCCAGGTGGTCCACCTGGATGAACGCCTTGCGGCCCTGGAGGTCCTCCTGGAATTCCTTGTGGACCAGGAGGACCTGGCATTTGTGGTCCAGGTGCGCCATTTGAGGGACGCTGTTGCTGGTACTGCTGTTGATTGGGCATTGATGGTTGAGGGGCCGCCGCGTTTGGTTGAAAAGAGCCAGGCTGTGGGAACCCCATTGGAGGACTTTGAGGCATGGCGCCTTGCCCAGCTTGAGGGGGGCTTTGGAACGAAGGAGTCGTCTGGGGAGGTCTCAAAGGAGCTCCTTGGTTGGGAGGCATTGACGGTCCATTTTGCTGAGCTCCATAAGAATTTGGTGGATTTGGCATAGTCGGCGGAGAAGCTGCTTGTGATGGATGCTGCTGTTGGAAAGGAGAAGGTGCTTGCGCTGGATGTTGTTGTTGTTGAAAATTACTGGTAGGAGCAGGCCCAGGCTGAGGTGGAGATTGCGCCGGAGCACCATTTTGTATTCCGTTCACAGCACCAGGAGCGCCCTGTGGTGGTTGAAAAGGTGAAGCGTTTGACCCGGGAGCAGGAAAAGGCCTCATGTTTGGTGGTCCTCCAGGCGGCATCTGCGGTCCATTGCTGGGCTGCGGCATGCCAGGGTACCCATGTGAAGCGTCCATAGCCGGTTTTTGCATGAACGCTAGAAGAAAGGAAATGATTATTATCTAGTTTTGAGCAAAACCTTAGTAAAACCGACCGGGTTGAGGAGGAGGTGCACCTGCCATATTCATATTTTGCGTAGGATAAGCGGCCTGCTGCTGTGGTACAGGCCCTCCCCCACTTGTTGGAGGAAAAGGAGGCGCGTACATGGTCCTAAAAGGACACGCTGAGTTGGAAAGTCAAAGCGAACAAACGATTTGCGCAGACGCACACAAATGCCACGTAACCACTATGTCACCCGACAACATACACACAATAACAAGCAAATTCAAGGAGCAGTAAATCACAAAAAATATTATTCAGAAGTATACAAGGCCCAATATGCGACCAAACAAGTAATTCTTTGTAATAAACGTGCGCTCCAGTGAAACGTTCCAAGTTCCATGTCACTGACGTGATATTGCCGTCACGGCGATGTCTACTCAGGGCGTTCCGCGCGAGACCGTATCCTGCAACATTTTTGCAGAAATCACCTTGCATCGTCTGTTTTTCGACCGCGAGGGAGAGGCAGAGACATTTGATAGTGCTCCTAGAGTTCAGATAACGAACTCTGCTGAAGCATTGCTTTTTGATCTTTCTCACCATCGAGAACCGACGCATGCCTGTCGTGCGAGCCTCATAGAACATGAAACTAATGTATCCCCCTAAAGTTGAGAGGACATCATTTTGCTGGAGTAGATTCAGCAAAAAAATTCTCTTTGGCCCGCATGCCTCTGCGATATCGCCACGCGTTTTGACGATCTGCCACGTGTTTCCAAGTCTGACACTCGGAGACACAAATGATGATGCTTCCAACTGCAGTAAAGTGATTAAAGGCAGCGTGCAGGCAAATCTGGACCTGTGGGATTTTTGCATGGGAAGTAAGAGGCCCTAACTAAGGCACTGCCCAATCGGCAGCGCAGGTGACTCACTAACGGATGAGATATACGCCTCCTGTGCCGATAAAAGCGGCACCCCTTTTTATTATCATATTGTACTTGTGATTCACTTCGCTGTTCCCAATTCTCCCGAAGACCGGAGTGTGTTGCCATTGTCGGCAGCTTCCTAACAACCGTATCTTTACTGTTACCTAAGTACCTTACAGGTCATGCCATAAGCATGACCTGCTGTGATAGTCTGTTACTCTACCACGCCTATTATTCTCAGCATTCTACCACAGCACCAACGTGTGCAGGTCGCCTGTCTCAATAAAGCTTATTAGCTATGTGTTCTATATAACACACTCTACCAGGCGCTATTTCGCCTAAGGCCACTATAGAGCCTACGAACCACCGAGACACCTCCAAACAGGACCCCGAATCGTATTTCGCATGTATTCATGGCGCAACCTATCAGTTTCGCGCGCGGATCCACGCGAAACTGATGGGTTCGCCATGAATCCATGCGAAATACGATCCTGGGTTCAGTTTCGAGGGGAATAACTCAACCGTTAGAGCACTTCCCCAGCTGTCGGTTGGGCAGTGGCTTAGTTAGGGCCCCAAAATCACTCTCCACGTGAGACCCGTATGTCCAGATTTGCCTGGACGCTGCCTTCAAGTGCATCTTCTGTAGTCTCGAAGTTACGGTAAATTACAAACAACTGAGCATTGCCAAATTGCGTGCCGACTAAAACCGCGTGTAACATGCCCGAGGCCTTAAAGGCCGGACATACTTCACGCGATTTCAGTCGCGACGCGATTTGGCAATTCGCCAGAAGTGTTCAGATCCAACACTAGCAAACTGCACATGCATAGTGTGTATAAGTTACGTGGATTGATAAAATGCCTTTTCTTCTGTACATCTAAAATGTGCTTACAATGAGTTATGGACAGTTGGAATGTTGCCTAATCGCGTCGCGATTGAAATCGCGTGAAGTATGCGCGGCCCTTTGTCCGAACTCTCCAGCTCCATTCACATCAGCTTGTCTTTTTACAGCTATCCTCTGGAATCAAAATTAGCTTCAACTAAGTTGCAGCCTTACTTTTACGCGAATATACTTCCCGCACCAGACATTCACTTATGTATCGTCTGTGCCCGAGAGAGGTCCCTATTGGTAAATACCATTCTGTCTTTCGATCGTTTTAACATGTCAACTTCAAATAAGCGCTCCAAATTTGCTGTAGTCATAACATGTTGAAACGATCAAAAGGCTGCCACGGTGATGGTACCTGTGAAAACTCTTTAGGTGACAAACTATACATTAGCCATTTTTTCCATTTATGTATCGTCTGTGACCAGAAATTGAGGGAAAAGATCGGCATGTTTTTTGCCAAGCATTGCTGACTCTGTCATAATCGTAGGCCGTGCGCAGAACATCCATTCTATAGCAGGAAGCCCATTTTGTGTCCATTTTCGTCAATGAAGTAGTTCCTTCCAGGTAATGAGCGAGACGAACGAAGTGCTATAGTTGGACAAGGCAAAGTATATAGCAGTGGCATACCCCTTCCCCCCCCCCCCCCGGAAATGGGTCGCGAGATTTTTGAAAGTTACTCACATGAGTTATAGAAACCTGCAAGTGGCTTGTTCATACGTACACAATTAAAATAATTTTGAAATACTTTAAAAATTCAATTCAACCTTGTGAAAAAATTCTAAGAGTGTGACTACCTCCACGCCTTCTTCTGAAATTGCGGGGTCATGGGCCCGCAAAACTTTTCGGAAACATCCCAGAAACATTTCGGAGTACGTGGCTAATGCCATGCATGTTTACTCGAAGAAAAATTTTTGTTCCCCTATCCCTTCCTGAGCGGAAATCATGGGTACGCCACTGGTATATAGTGTTGGCTAATATGGAAAATAGCGCAGTCATGTCTGCAAACCTTCATACAACAAGGAAAAGAACTTGGTTGAAGTGGCGTTTCCACATGAAATGTTTACTATCTTATATAGAGCATGAAACGCTGATTCCCTTTTTAGCTTTCCTTATCTGCAAAGCTCTTCTGCGAGGGCAGTTGCGGAAATTTTTGGGTTAAAAATTTAATGATTTGGCTGAGGTAAAAACAGGTGTTGATATCTTTTCGGCGCTTGAAAGGAGTGATGACTGACATGAGTTTATTAAATTAAAGTTAATTACTGCATAAAAGGCCCCGGTAGTAACCATGACTGCTAGCTTACGGACCAAACGAATGATTTTATTGTAGCGCGCTCTTGAATTTTTGCACCGAAAAATTCTCATAACTCCCCTCGCAGAAGCGCTTTGCAGATAAGGAAAGGAGATTTGGAACCAGCGTTGCATGCTCTATAAAATAGTGTACATCTCATATGGGAACGCTACTTCGACCAAGTATTCTTCCCTGAGTCGACGATGTGACCTTTTGGCGCATAATAGCATTATAGCAAGGATTTTCGGTCAAAGAAATCTCCTCAAGTTTTTCGTATCACTTCACGATTCACATGAAAATAAAATTTTTTGAAAACAACCAAGTTTTTGTTTTCTCCACCCTCGTTTTCAAAATGCTAGCGGCACCAAAGGGCCGCCATAGCACAGACAGCTCGAATACATCCCAAAAAATAGAGAAAAAACAAGGAGAAGCACAGAAAGTTATTAGAGGAAAATTCCGAAGGTTATTAGAGAAATTAAATTTGGGTAAGTTCACAAGACTGTCATAAACTTGCGTGTATCTTCTACAAGTTTCAGAATTAAACAAAAAAATGTAACAGAAATTATTCGCCAACTTGATTTATCGCAAACCTTCAATAGTAAATTAGCTGGATTTCCGCCCTTTCAGAGCATTGGTTTTTGAGATATCAAAATTAGCATGAAAAACGAAAAAGACAACGTTTTTGCTCTTAGACTTTTTTGATGCCAGTTTCTAGCATGAAAAACCAACAGCTGTACGTGCTATGATTATTATAATGTAGAGAGTATAAGCGTGATCAAACTGGAGCTTAAGTTTCGAAGAATATCCATTTCTTGGGTAACTTTGAATTTTAGGCGGTGATTCCGAACCCTACGTGGATCAAACTTTGTTCGAATATTGGATGCCATCTTGTAGAGTTTCTATTGCGCTGTCAACGAAATTGAGTCCTGTTTTTCGAAATTAGCAGGATTTCGTCAACGAGAGAACCTAATACATATCGGATTTTCTAACATCAATGAACCATTCAAAAGTGTCAGCGACTAACCACCTGAACTATGAGTGACTGTGGTAAGGACCAATTTCAAACGCTGAAACAAGAAAGTGAAAAGCAAGATGATGCTTTGCATTTGATGGTATGCAGGAAACACAATGAACTGAATGCTTTGTCACTGCTGTTGACAGCTATTTTGTATTCTCAACGTTAGTGAGTGCACGAAGCGATGCTCCAAAATTTCTGGAATCAGAGGAGAGAGTTTCGCAGTAACTTATCAACTCTAGTCTAGTAGATTTGACAGTCATTATAGTGTCTCAGCAGTGCAGAATGCGTGCTTGAATACCCTAAAATCTTACAGATAAGTCCCTTTTTTTGACAAAAAAAAAATTGATGAAAACGCACTCTGGCACCCCCAAAAATCTCGCAGTTGAGTCCGTCTACAGATAAGTCCAGACTTATCTGACAGTCGGACTCATCTGACAAGATTTCAAGGTAGTCATGATAGAAAGAAAACGAGTTATTTGAAGGCGGATTTATCTGAAGGACCTTTTTCGAGTCAAAAAAGCTGACTTATCTGACGGCGGACTTGTCTGATGGGAGGACTTATCTGTGAGGGTATAGCCATGTTTGTAATGTCGCCTTGGACAACCGTTATGACAGGAGGCAAAGAAACTTACATATTATATCGCATTGTCTTGTTACTGAGCCCCACTAATTTTTTTGCAAAGACATAGAGTCGGAAAAATGCTGTTGCTAGGGAAAAGGTGGAGAGTTGAAGATAGCCTCCTCGATGTGCAGTCGTTCACTTTTTTTGCGAGTTATCTTTCCCGCAGTTGCTTTTGCGCCATCGTGGGCAGGATGGCATTTCTCACGGACATATGGGCAAATGCTCCCATTTCATACATTGATAGGTTCGGTGCGTTAGCATACCAATTGTGCGGCCTAGTACCGCAAAGCTACAGCGTGGAATAAGAGCAGTCTTTACTCGAAACATTCACCCTTTTCGCCTTTGTCTGGTATTGTGGTATTCTAGCGCTAGTTCCGTGAAAGCTATGTAGCCGCTTCAGAATGTCGTAAGTAATCCATCTCATGCAGTGGCGGTCCCAGAATTCCAGTCCGAGGGAAGGGTGACAAAATTTTTTCCTCAAGTGAAGGTGACTGGCGTTAGCTGCGCACTCCGAGAAATTTGGCAGTCTTTCAAATTTTTGAGGGGCCCATACCCCGAAATTTTAGAGGGAGGGCGCGACTGCGGCACGTCCTGAAAAAATTTTAGCTTTACGAATGGTTGTCTTCGAAATTTATTCTAATCACTATAGTGAACCATTAATCAAAGGTGCTAGATTGCATCCGTTTGTTTCGGGACCGCACAGCGGTTTCCCGCTATCTGATGTTTTTTTGAATTGGCGTTACGATTCCTTACATATTTATTTTACATGGTCCGGGCAAAAACTCGATTTTGAGATTTTGTGCTTGTACGGGCCTATTCGCCATGCTGAATCCGAAAATCCACACTGGAAAACGCGAAAACGGCAAAAAAGAGCTCTAACGCACGAGGGAAACATCAAGTGAGCGGGGTCCTCTCTACTGTGATTTCACGCTCCCAGCTTCCGGAGCGGTCTTCTCGATTCCGCTAGTCGTCCTAACATCGCTACCGGCCAAGTGCAAATGATTGACTTGAAACCGAAAGCGAACCAAAAAACCGTGAACTCACAATGGGGAGGGCCCCGTCCACTTGCTGAATTTTCTCCTGTGTTAGAGCCGTTTTTCGCCGTTTTCGCGCTTTCAAATGTGCATTTTCGGATTCAGCATAGCGGATAGGCCCAGGTAAGCACAAATCTCAAAATCGAGTTTTTGCCGGGACACTGCTTTTGAGTTTACAATTCTAAACAATTCACTGGACATTTTTATAACTCAGGTATTTTCAAAAATTTCGCGGTCCATTTTTGGGTCTGGAAGGGGGGAGGGGAAGCTCTGTTCACTGATTTCAGGCCATGAGTTTTGATCCTGATCGAGGGAAAATCATTCTGTTAGATTGTGAGCAGCAAAAGCGATGGGAACGGAAACCTCCCCTCTATGAACTCGCAGTCCGTGGAGTTATTTAACTGCTGAGACTTTTCATCTTTTGCGAATAATTTTTTGGACACCTGAAGAGATAATATAAAACAGGACGGCTTCCGGTGGTCTTACACAGCTACTTCCTGGAGCCGCGCTAAATCTTGCTTCTTGATAGCTTTATTTGGCAGGAAGGACCTTCATGATAGCCACAAGGTCTTAACACTCCTGGACCATATTTTTTGATACCCAGTGCTCATTAGGCTGGATTTATACCGATCCGTAAGTTACGGAACAGTAACATCACAGCGCACAATTCGAGCGCTGTGCTGAAACTTTTCCAGAAAATACGGATCAGTATGAACTGAAGCTTATAAGGAAAATGTAAATATTCGATTGCATCTGGCGTAGGTCGCTCCTTCATCTGTCTTACGGCGAAGTTCAAGTTTAGAGAGTACAATGATTGAAATTTTGTACTTGTTCATGTCAGCATCATTGCAATCGTACAAACTTCCTTACAAATGCTGAATTGATGGTGGAATTCACAGAAACTAGTAGAGACTATCAAAAAATGAACATAGCAACTGCGACCATCCTTTGAAAAACCTTTATAACGGATGACACCGATGTTGAGGCTCAGAACGAAATGACCCAGTGGAAGTCGGAAACAAATCACTCCATATCCCCGCACTTCTATTAGATGCAATGCGCAATGTATCAAATGAGTAGATACAGTCGAATCACTTCATATGATCATGGGTGTCACTGCACACGCAGTCCACCTTTGGCGGCCTCATCCTGGATTTGCAATCGCAAAAACGGAGAGACTTACCGGTTATTATCGACTACATCAATTTGAGGATTATTAAATAAAAAGAAAAGAAAGTATTGTGAAGGTTCTAGAAATACTTATCGTGCAGAATTGTTCCCATATGAACACCGACGTGGCTGCTTCAGTCGTTTTAACACTATAACTCCAGCAAATTTAAGGCGCTTATTCGAAGTTGACATGTTAGAATGATCGAAAGACAGCCACGTTGAAGGTTCATATGGGTGAAATGCGGTAAAATTGGCGCATGAACAATTAGGCACAAGAGAAATGCCGGTATTCTGCGCGCGCAACCGGGCGGCGCCACAGTGGTATCTATCTAGCTATTTGTACGCGCAGATTTTACCGCATTTCATTTATGAGCGAGCCCTCAAGTTTGGCGAGGCGGAGCTGCGCTAGCGGCTCTTGCGTTGCGGTTGCCCTGTGCTGAGGCAATACAGTGCACGCATACTACAGGGTGTCCGTAAAGTATGTATACACTGCTTGATCGTTAATATCTCTTTTCCCAAAAAGTCTTTTGCCTTGCTTCAGGTACCATTTTGTAGAGCTGGCTTCAGCTTAGAGTTATAGTATGGAGAGAATTACCGTCCGCTCTTGATTACTGTAGGATTACGGTAGAAACTTGAAACATATGGTGTCAATGTGGAAAAAAGTGCCGTTTCAGAATTTTTCAAAAAAATGTGAGAATTTGTGTAATAGGCTTTTTATGGACGCTGAGTTTAATACTTAACTATTCACAAGGTTGCGAAGCTTTCTAAACGGTGTAATCGCACTTTTTTAGAATATTGAAAAAATGGCCGCTACCTCTTATCTGGCATAACTCTTCAGTGAAGCATTATAATAAGTTGAAAACTTCACAATTCGAATCAGCAACTCTAACTAGCCTAGTGTAAAAGTTTTCAGGCTGTTTTGTTTCCTTTCTTAGGCAAAATATGGCCTTTTATGGCTCAAAACCCTCTTTGAAGTTTCTACCGTAATCCTACAGTAATGAAGAGAGATAAGTGATTTGTTCTATACTGCAAATCTAAGTTGAAGCCAGCTCTACAAAATGGTACCTGAAGCAAGCCAAAAGACTTGCTGAGAAGAGATATTAACGATCAAACAGTGTTTACATACTTTACGGACACCCTGTATATTGAGCGGTAAATCTACTTGATTGTACGCCTGTAACGTTGGCCATTTGCGCCCGCAGAGTAACATAAAACGAACTAAAAACGCAAACCGCTCCATTTTGGTATCTATTAAGCCTATGGCTTCATTTACGGTGGCAAGTTGGCACCATGGTTTCTGAAAGATCTAGTAAGTACTCAAATTTCACCGCCAGGTAATCGCTACGTCGTTTACCGTGTCGCAAGAAAGTTGAGCGTATGAATTTTGAAAAATAGGGAACTTCAAATACACGCTGACTCTCCACACGTCATTATACAAACGTGCCTGGCCTCAGGCTCAAAGGCAGTGTCGGGCAAAAAGTCGATCTGCGCTTATTACTTGGGCCTACTTGCTAAGCTGAATCGGAAAATCCACACTGGAGAGCGCGAAAACGAAGAAAAAGGGCTCTAACGTAAGAGGGACATCAGCAAGAGGGCGCGCCCTCCCATCTGTGAAGTCACTCTCTCAGCTTCACGACTCTTCTCACGATCAGTTCCATTTTCTAGTCACGTTTTCGCACTGGCCGATGGCAATGTTAGCGAGGATTGCTGAACCGAGAAGATCGCTCTGGAATTTGGGAGTGTGACTTCACAGAGTGAAAGATCCCACCCATCTGCTTATTTCACTCCTGCATTGAAGCCTTTTTATGCAGTTTTCAGCTTTCCAGCGTGAATTTTCGTATTCAGCATAGCGGATAGGCTGAAGCAAGCAAAAAATCTCAACACCGATTTCTTGCCCGGACACCGCTTTCAAATTTCACCGTCATAGAGTGACGAAGAGCAATCAGAAACTTGTGGACCTAATAAGTAGCACATCAGTACCGCTTAGTACTCGTAGGATACTACCAAGCAAGTGAAAAACAACAATCATAGGTATAGTTGATTCGTTGACCGTACAGACTGGACATCACTGCGGAGCATGCGCCGCGAGGTAAAATGCTTGCCCCTGTACAAACCATTGTACAAGTCGTGCTCTCGCGACAATTTAGCCGCAGCGCGCGTGGTCCGCAACGTTTGAATAGTCCGTGCGGTGAACGAACCGACGGTACATTTTTCTACCAAACTCCTGCCTACGTCATGGTAACACCACTTCACATTAAACTGGAGAAAAATTCAAGCATCGGAGATCGAAGGAACGGCTTGAAGTATTGGAAATTTCTTCATACAAATCAACATTAGCAACAGCAGCCTTTAGTTTTGACTGCCACACGTTAAATAGAATATTACCATAATTTCCTTCAGCGATCCTCTCCCACTCTACTTCGGTTTAGGGTGAGAGTTTTTCTATATGGGGTCCTTAGTATCTATGAAACCTGTGGCGAACCTTGGACCTGAACTTTACGCAACGCACACGAAACCGGGTGAAATCGAACAAATCCCTTGATAACTTCTGCTTGCTTGTCGATCCAAGTTTACAACTCTGTCGTTCACACCGCGATTATCTACTTTTTCTCAAATAAAGTACCAAAGGTAATGCACTTTCATTTTTGTGCCCCATCAGTACACGCAATTTCAAGACTCCATGACATACACATTTATGAAAAGGTATCACAGAATTCAATCCAGTCTCTTTGTAGGTATATTATGAGCAAACATGAAAGCACCCTTATAGAGCGTAAACTGGAACGTGGCGATCGGTCTGACCAGATCAAGATGAGCCTATTATCTCGTCAATTTTTGATCTTAGTGGCTCAAGTTCTCTACCAGGTATCAGTTGAAACTGTCTGGCGAAGAGTATGAATTGTTTGAAGGAAGTGTTGAGATGAGGTGTAGCATTCAATTCGTTGAAACGAGCGGCATGACAGGCATAGACATGAGCATATACCCGGAAGAGGCGACGCATTATACCCTCGCAGACCTCTATGAAGTTCCGAGGAAACGCTCTACCTAAATTCGAAATAAGTTGACATTGATTCGAAATTTATCTTTGTTCTCTTACCGATCTGAGAAGGAAACACGCCCTCATCGTCAAGTTGATCTTGCACCCAAGTCATTACATAATCAATGTATACTGAGGCCGAGCAGGGAATTCTGAAAAGCAGATCTTACCCTTCAAATCATCTATGTAGTTCCAACTTGCTAAATTTGATGAAAATCAGATAGTGAAGTTTCCTAATTCTTTGTTAACACATTTACGACACGCCATTTTTTTAGTTTCTGCCAATGACAAGGAAACCTAACCTAACTGGCCTTTTGAAAAGGGGCAGATGTGGTTGGAACCAGCTTGAAATATTAATCGAAAGTATGCTTTTCTTATGAATAAATGTCTCTTTTCAAGCCAGTCTACAAGCCGTCTAAGGACAACAAGCTCACGTAATGAATCCGCAACGACAAGCGCGCGAGCTAATATACAAGGTGCCCCAAAAAAATGTACCTACTGTTTGATTGTAAATAACTCTCTTGTAATGAAGTATTCGAAGCTTCAGGTACTATTTTGTAGAGTGAGGTTAAACTTGGATTTACAGTATGGATTGAATCATCGATCGCTCTTCATTACTGTGGGATTACGGTAAGAACTTCCAGCATACGGACCACTGTCAAATATACCACCTTACAAAATTTTTTTCAGAAAATCTGAAAAACCGTGTATTAGGGTTTTCGCGCATGCTGATTCCACCTAACAACTTTCTACGAGTGTTTTCAACTTTTTCGACGGTGTCATCACATTTCTGACAAGTGCTGGGAATTCAATTATTATGGATAACTTTAGAAAGAAGCATCACAGTTAAGTGGGAGTTTCAAATTCGAAATCAGCGGCTCCCATTACCGTAGTATGAGAGTTTTTGGCTTGTTTGGTTTTGTTCCGAGGCAGGATATAGCCTCCAATGGCCTAAAATCCTTGTCGAAGTTCGTACCATAATCTTCTATATAAAGCTGAATGTCTGTCTGTATGTCTGTACGTATGTGCGGAATAGAAATTTTTATTTCTGAACCTTTTTGGACCAAACTTGGCACACATATACTTCGGGGCGGGGAGCGTGTCATAGGCTATTTTTCGTTATCGATCGATATCGATTTTATCGATTTTTTGCAAAATTTGAGCTACGGGGCTGGGAGTTGGCACAGGGGGGTAATCGAGCATGCTGATTACGAATAAAATAATGACAGGGCCGGGCGGAGCCGGGTAAGCCAGCTAGTCCGTAATGAAGAGCGATAGATGATTCGCTCCATACCAAATCTAAGTTTAACCTCGCTCTACAAAATGGTACCTAAAGCTTCTCGAAACACTTCATTACAAGAGAGTCATTTACAATCAAACATAGGACATTTTTTTGGGACACCTTGTAGTATTTTGCTTAGGAATTATATCTAAGGTTTTTACGGTTTTTTTAATGTATGTTTCTCTTCCTAGACATGGATTCTAGCAAAAAATTGTATTTTGAGGGTGGTTTCAAGTGCTGATTAAATATGAAAGATGGGAGATTGTTGAGATTTCCCTGCCGGACAATAAAGCAGATATTTTACGTTGCGAAGCGCGAGAAAAAATCTTCAATTTAGTATAGCCTCCTCTAGCAAGATCACAATAATGGGAGCGCATTCAAGAATCTTCTGATGTTAGTGTATTTTTTGTTACTTACTGTCGTGGAATTCTGCAGTTAGTAAATACATTGTATAGGCTTTCTTAACGAAAGTATAAAGCGTTCATTATCTGCAGAACTGTCTTTTCCGCAGAATCTTTAACAAAAAATAATGCTCTCCAAAATAACAGCAAAAATACCATTAATAATGACGATCATCCCAGCATGATCCGACAAAAACTTGTCTTTCAGTGCTTCACCCTTTCGGAGCCTTATCGCCATGAGGAACCCATATCTGAGCTTTTCTGTGCATGAAACGGCGGCAATGAGTTTTTCCCAGGCTTTCCGAGTCAGCGTTTAGTGGAAAATACGTGTACGCGAGCGAAGTTTGAGACGAAAGAGGCGGGTGCGGAAGGCCCCGGCGTATCTTCACTGGATGCGAACATGGAAAGCTTCGAAATAGGCTAATTTTCGCCATTTTATTGCGCTGAAAAGCCCAGATATGGGTTACTCATGGCAAGATGCTCTTAATAGGTGAAACCTAAACAGCAAAATTTTGCAGAGACGCTGCCTTTAAGCAACTATATATAGGTAATTTATGTACAAAGTAGTGAAGATGAATTTGACTGCGGTCTTTGCGCGCACAGGAGCAGAAAACACTCATACAAAAGGCATCACCTCAATTCTCAGCTCAGTCACTTCCAGTGTCTGAATGCTATCATATGTAAGCAGAAAAACCATTCGTGTAGTGATTGAAAACCAAAAGAAGTAGCGGTTGCCGCGTATGCGTGTCGCGCGCGGTCGCACCATCGTCGCGATTTTTCGAGTGGCTTATACAAGATCTCGTGCAATTTGAAAAATGCTTCTAAAACTTTTTTCAGGGACTCAATTCGGACACAAGGCAATTATGAAAGCCATATTTCGACGCATACGTCTCCACATACAGACAATGTCAATTACGTACTCCCCTTCGCATGGAAACTACGCTGCGCAACGCAAGAGCCCTGCGCGCGGACCTCCAATAGAAAAGGTCACTTTGAATGTCCAAGACATAGATACGTGCGCGAGCGTGACGCGAAACTCATTGCGCTTACGGAAAGGCAGCAAGTGAATGGACGGTATGTCCTAAATACCTTTTCTATACGCATTAGCAATAACTTTCTCCATTGAAATGCAGCGCATATCAGCCGTGTGAGGGGACCATTGATCCTTTGAAGTCAATTCGTTTTTTCCCTTTTTGTGGATGGAGCTTAGGATGTACCAACAAATGTTCACCAACGGATAAGAGCGAGGCAATGCATTGATAATCAACAAACGTGCAAAACTTACTGCTAACTTACATTCTGTCATTTTCAGTCCAAAAGTACTCATGTGTAGCTCCAGCCGTCATTTGAGGACAACTTTCGTTAGTGCACTGATCTGTGATAGTTCCATATAACATGCGTACTTGATTGAAAAGGTCCATAACTGAAAAAGTATGCTTGATATTACATACATAATCAAGCCATCCTATTAGACATAATCGAGTATCTACTGATCGTGCATTTTTTTTGTCTCTAATATGAATTGGCATCTATCTTCAAGCTCTATCTTCAAGCTGTGTTCGGTACAAACTTTTAAAATGCTCCCCGCTCGCAAATCCAAGACACTGGATGAAACCCAACCCAAGAACAGGCGAATTCGGGAGGGATCGCTGCATGGAGCACACCCAGACGGCTTCGAAGCAGATATCCGCCCGTTTTAACGCCTTCCGTCCTAACTTCTGGCAACTAGAAAAGTTCTGACAGGATCTAGTGCCCCAGTAATCTCGAAGGTGCTAGTCGCAGAGGCACTTGCTTCGGGAACCGCTCGGTTTCCCGCTATCTGATGGTTTTTGAATGCGCTTTACGATCCTTTATAATTAATATTAAATTAGATTATACCGTCAATTTTTCACGAACTGCTCAAACCCAGCGGACCACGCGCGGCGCGGCTAAATCGTTGCGAGAACACGATTTGAGTAGAGGAACGACACCTCAATTAAGCACCGTCTTCGCGGGCTGCTGCTCTCGTCCTACTGTTGTGCATCGCGTTAGGACCAGTAGTCCGCGGAGACGGTGCCTAATTGAGGTCTTCGTTCTACCCATATCGCCGATTCTTCACGGACTGCTCAAACCCTACGGACCACCCGCGGCGCGGCTAAATCGTTGCGAGAGCACGACTTGTACTATAGCGATTTGTACTGGGGCAAGCATTTGGGGGACGGTCAGGAGGTACGATCGGCGCGAATTTTTCGCGAAGCGACGCCGCGACGTAATTCAGCCCTTACAACAGCAGCGCTCCTGGAGCGGTCTTACTTATAGCATTGAATCATGTATCTGTCCCCATCCTCAGCCCCCTGTTTTTGCCGCGGAATCTCTGTTGGAGGAGAGTCTTGGAGGCTCCAAGTTTTGAACGCGGCGTCTGCGGAAGAGCGGCCGCCGCGTTCAGAACTTGGAGCCTCCAAGACTCTCCTCCAACAGAGATTCCGCGGCAAAAACAGGGGGCTGAGGATGGGGACAGATACATGATTTAATGCTATAAGTAAGACCGCTCCAGGAGCGCTGCTGTTGTAAGGGCTGAATTACGTCGCGGCGTCGCTTCGCGAAAAATTCGCGCCGATCGTACCTCCTGACCGTCCCCCCCCCCTTATACAGTGTATACATGTATAGGGGCCTGCACGATCGCGAGAGTCGGACGTGCGTACGGCCATTGCGCCGCGCACGTCGTATGTCACTGGGTCGTAGTCGATTAAGGCTAGATAGGTAAGTTTTTTTTTGTTTTTCTTTACATTTCACGCCTTCTTTTCTTTTCAGACGGTGAGTACATGTTGGTGCGGAGGAGTTTAAGATCTAGATTAAGGTGAGGTGCAGGATTATGCTCAATACGGGCCAATATTGTGAACTTTTCACCCCTGCTTTGAAGAATGTTGAGTTTTCTGTTCTGGCTGTCCGATTATGTTCGATTTTTCGTCCTGCCTGCCCGGTTACGAAACTCCGTTTTATTTGCAACGTCTGTTCTACCTCATCTTGCATCATGCGCGTCATCACAATCATAATCATTGTCATCATCATCATCATCATCACAAGCAATATGCAAGATAAGGTAGAATAGACGGTAGAAATAGAACAGTTTGCTGTAACAGGGCAGCCAGGACAGAAAATCCAACATCTCAACCAGCAGGCATGGAAGGTCTGCAATATTGAGTCCGTATTGAGCATAATCCTGCACCTCACCTTAATTCAGATCTTAAACTCCTCCGCACCAACATGTGCTCACCGTCTGAAAAGAAAAGAAGGCGTGAAATGTAAAGAAAAACAAAGAAACTTACCTATCAGCCTTAATCGACTACGACCCAGCGATATCAGGCGTGCGCGGCGCAAAGGCCGTACGCGCGTCCGACTCTCGCGAACCTGCAGGCCCCTATACTTATACATACTTATACATATACTTACACTTAAACATGTACCCATCGCGAACGAAAAAGATAAGCCCAATCCGCACATTGTAAGTTTGGATGCCAAATGAATAACATTAGGACCGCTATCGCTCACGGATGATCGGAGCGGTTTAAGCAAGGGTATTGTAGCTAGGTATCCACCACCTAACTCCCAAGCCTTGAACAGACCAGACAAAATTTTATGTCGGTACAAATAGAATCTGGGTAATATCCCTTCCAAAAGTGATCTCGAGTAGGAAGAACTGACCGTCCATAAAGAAATGATTGGTAACAATAACAAAACCACGAAATCGCAAAACAGCAAAGCACCGCCTTCATCTATCACAAATAGAAACAGCCACTGTATGTCGTATGAGTTTTGAGATAAAATATAGTTCTCAGGGAAGAAAACCCTCTTCAAAGTGTCTATCGTAATTCTACAATGTAGAGGAGAGATTGTTGATTCGCTTTGTACTGTAGATATAAATTTGAGCCAGCTCCTGTTACCCATAAGTTCCTGAAAGACCTTGAAACAGAAGAGTTATTAGCTTTGGAACACACTGTATTCCTGCTCTCGTAAGCCTATGTAAACAGACACGAACTAACGGTGAGGATGCAATGTAAAGTGCATCTCGTCCATCGAAAAATGAAACACATATTATATACCCACCCTCTGCAGCTTCGATACTTTACACTTCAATGAGCTTAATATGCTATTAAAAAAAAAGCAAAAAGAAAACACCATCTGCGATGCAAAGTTTTAACTCCACTGCTTCAGTCAGTACATCAAACCACATTATTAAAATGACCAGGGGTCGCTTTAAATCTAATTTGTACGCCAACAAACTCACTATTAACAGCAAGCCATTCGTTGAGATCTTCTCCGTTAGGCAAGCGTACGACGTCATGAAGATTACCACTTCCTAAAGTCGGTGCCGTTTGAAGCATAGCATCGGTGTCGTTAGCACTATGTTGTTGTACCCCTCGCAGTCCACTACGTAAGGCGCTCATTTTGCTGCACATCAATAGAAACAATTTTGAGAACTGATTCCGAAAAATAGCAGAATCATCGAAAGTATGAGATTTCGCAGATTCACTCGATGAAAAGTAGCAGGTCAACTTTGACTGAACTAGTTTATCCGTTCATAGTGGGTGATACTAGTATATTACTACATGCTATGGGAGAAATGTTCGACTCAGTCAAACAAGAAGAGTACAATTGTGGTTTATCCTTCATAAAATGAATAACTTAAACAACTGTAGATAAATCACTCGAGACACATACAACACGCACAATTCGGTAAAGAACAGATCCAGAAAGCGTAAAAAGTTAGCAAACGCTAAGTTACCAAGTCGAAATCCTAAAACATCGCAATTTGTTGCCATCGTAATTACACTGAGAACTCGAACCTATCTGTGAGTTAAATCACAGCCACTTAAGTAACTATGAGTTTGAAACTTCCATACTCATCGAAATGACAGCAGATGTGCGTAAGGATTGTGCGACTGAGGTGTGAAGAAGATGTAAGGATATTATTGAACATTGCATGAGGAAGCGACCCACTACAAACTACAGGAAGTAGTCCGGAGTTCTTCGGGTTACGTGAGGTTCGCCTCGCCTAGGAGCAGGGTCGAATTGCAAGAATGAGTATTTCAGTTCATCATCCAGTTCAACCATAGCAGCCTGATTTCCACATCGATAGCAATAGTTTGGTGCAGAAAATACCGTCACTACATTACGATCATGACACCAGTTATAGCCCTAGAATGAACCGATGTGAATCGACAACCGAAATTTTTGTCTGTGTAGATACCTCCATAACAAGCTGGTGCGCACGCGAGATAAGTGTCAGACCATTGGAATGATTGAAAGTCTCGGAGATATCCTGACCAAAAGTATAGCCAGCACCACGTGGGGAGATTCCCCAGCCTCCGCGGTCATCGGGGTCAGACCACAAGAGATCGCACATAGGACCTTCATGCGGAACCTGTAACACTCGATTATGATTTCGAAACAACAAGACGCTTTGATGATGGCATAGAAAACAGTCTGATAAGCCTAGTTGGTCTTCAAATACGTAAATAAGGACGCATAGCAGCGACTACAGGTTCTGAATTTTTTGACAATGCTAAGTATCTATAAAAGCTCGGGTGGATTTGAAACAACTGTAATTATGAAATTTTTTATGTTAAACTATATTTGTGGATTTGAAAAGACTGAGATAAAGATGATGAGATATGTATATGCGAAAAAGAGAATAGGATCTGCGCATTAAGGATGACCAATACGGACACGTTACCCTGCACACTTCTCATGCACTTTTGTGAAAACGACTCTTACAACCTGACAAGTATTGAGCAGTCCCGTTTACACACAATACTTTCATCATGCGGAAGTGCATTGTCAGCGCTCTCAAATACGAAAATGAGGACTATGAACTCCCGCAAACACGAAGGAGATGCAAGCATTGAAGACCTTTCGCAAAGGGATTGCGGAAAATAAATAAACTTTGAGAAGACTTACTTCCTGTATACGATCGAGAGCTCTTATGTGATCGAGGGTGTCGATCGATGGGGATAAACCACCGTGGAGGCAAAATATTTGACCATCCACAAGAGCGGTGAGGGGGAAACAGTCAAAAAGATCGGTGAAGTATTTCCATACATTCGAATTACCATACTTGCGTAGGCACTCGTCATAGAACCCGTAAACCTGAAATGGCAAATTAGCGCATTGACTGAACACGTCATCTTACAATCACACAATTTCAACATCGTCTGATTCTGACTTAATCCTATATCACGACCGAACAATCAAGAGACATTATTTCTTGAAAATGGCACATTTTGAGATCCTTCAAGCCAGATTACATGACTTTTATAGTACGCCGCTCGAAAAGGCTTTGTAAATTAGAGATTTCAAAAATCACTAAAATACGCCGCTTGAAAAGCCTTTGTAGATTGGAGATTTTGCAAATCACTAAAAATAAGGATATTGAAAAGAAAATCTAGATCGATAGAAACGCGAATGAACACTAAATCGGCTTCATATTTCGCCAGCAAATGGTCACGAAAAAAACAGATGTAAAAAGACGACTGGCAATATTTACAACTCATTACAATTAAGATACTGAAAAATGAGGTCCTACGAAAAAATCCACAAACCTGAGTAATTTGTCGAGACTCATGATTGCCACGAAGAATAGTGACTCTTTCTTTGTATCTGATCTGAAAAATAAAAAATTGAGACGAAGAAGTTCTACTACACTGCGTAAGTGTGGGAATCGTAACTGCATGAGCACCATGACACGAAAAGCCACCGAATTTCAAACAGTAATGAATTTTAGAGAATCAATGTAGGGATACCAACCTTCAGACACACCAATAAGCTAACAGTTTCAACTGAGTAGTAACCGCGATCAACGTAATCACCCATGAACAGATAATTCGTATCGGGGCTCTTTCCTCCCATTTTAAATAGCTCCATTAAGTCATGGAATTGTCCGTGTACATCACCACAAACGGTAACGGGACATCTGACTTCTTGGACATTGGACTCTTTCTCGAGTATTTCCTTCGCCTAAAACAACGGTTATGTTCAGCACAGTTTTGTTCAAACCAAACAAAGCTCAGAAGTAGTCTTCTTAGAGGCAATGGGTAAGATGTTATTTAATGATAATCATATTCTGATATGGTCTTTTATCACACAAAATTTCCTTAAACTTGCAACACAATGTTCTGGGTCTTTGTGAAAGTGGCTCTCACACATTATCGACATTTGCTAACTAGAAATTAGATATTGGAGTAAAATCTGCGTGAAAGATAGATGCTGCGTTAATGAACTCAAAAAAAAATACGATTCTGCCCTTACCAGATTTAAAGTGTTAAAATGCAAGCAGTTCAGACTCACAAATACATAGCGTTTAAAATGCTAACCAGATAATCTAGTTAATCGCTTTCCAAACTTTTCATACTTGAGATCTCTTATACCAAAACTCAAATCAACAGAGAAAACTTCAAAGAGCCAAGAAAAGCCAACAGTGCGCTGCATCGTAGTGCAAAAAAGTTGCTAAGGGGGACATCTGAAGGTACAGAGATTTGCAAGCAAACAAATTTACCTTTTCACAAAGGATTTTGACTTGGTTCTCGCTGAGCTGCTTACACTCATAAAGTTGCTCAATCCATTGGTCAACATCTTTGATCATCGCTCTGTCGAGCACATCTCCTGACGGAGCAGGTTGTACCGCAGATGACATGGGTACTAGAATTATTCAAATAAACTTGAATGCAATAGGAAAGCATAAACGAAAGAGAACGATTTCAAAAAGCGAATCTTATCGCGAGCAAAACAAGAAGAAGACACGCTACTACAAACGAGTGCAAAGTGAAAAAAGGGAAGACACAGCAGTAAAAGAAGTGCTTGACACCACAGTCCCTTGATATGACACATGAGAATACAACTAAATAGGTGACCTAAAGTGATGCTATGAGTCAACAAAGCGGATCGATAACATTCCAGGGTTGGGAAATTATCGAGCGCCAAGTGTGAGGAGCAGATCCGCCTCGGCCGCGGCGCGCGCCCGCAACGCGTGCGCTGAGTATCGTCCTCGGCCGGTCCTCAAGCGGCAGGCTGAGTGGGTTTCCTAGCGTTTTTGATTGAAAAAGTGATGTGTGATTTAGTAGATAAAAATGGCAAATTCCAGTTCATTTAGATCAAAACAGCATAACGTCATCATGAGAGATCTGCTGATGGATTAGGTGAAGAATGCTATGTGCGCGCATTCCCTAATAAGCTCGAACTTGTTCTTCGTCTTAATCAAGCACTGGGAAACTCGAAATGGGGTTACGAACAAGTTCCTACCTACTCGTTAGGCGTGCGTGCGTGGCTTTATTAGGTCAAAGTCTGTTGAAACTACTATGGCTAAAAAAATAATTTCGCTTTCGCATGAAAATCTTTATAAAAACTTCTCTAGCTGTGCTTTATCCATGATTTTTTGTAGGTAAGTAGTCCAGAGCTTGTTCTATCATTTATTAACTCTACAGAATCTTGAAGTATCAGTAAGAGACAGTTATGCCCCATCATGGCTGAAATTCCAAAAGCTCAATTCTGCATTCAAAGCTTCGTTTTCCGATGGATGTGGAGAGCAGCAGTTTGGAATTTGGATGCAGACAAGTTTTTTCTACTCAACAACTATCAATAAAATTTGTGATCCGCCAGTTCAGAATTCTCTGACCGGAAAAACCAAATTTTCTCGTATTTGAGACAATGAGAAAATTAGGGTTTCACAGTTCTTTTCTTCCATTGCGAGATAAATTCTACTCTAACAGTTATGTTCCAGTTCTCATCAAAGTACTGTTTCCAGAGGTACCGAATACTGGACAAAAATTGTCTGCAGCATCTGTAGGAGCCGCAAAACCGGATGGAATTGGTTATTAGCCAACCTAGTATCAGACTTTGCAGATGTAGCTAGAAAATTCTGCGTATGAATCTCCAGAGCTGTTCAAACTTCATCGTGAATTCAGAGATACGCTAAGAGTGATGGTACTCTGTTATTTATCAATATTTTTATCTATCGATATACTTGAAGTGCACCAAGAAAAAAAAGGAACTCGAACTAAAGCGATACCAGCTATTTTCGAATATAGAGAGATGAATATGACATGGAAAAACGATAACCATAAGTCAAAACGCTATAGATTACTAAAATTAGGTTGAAGATATTATTTTGTCAAAAGACATATGGAATCACGGAGGATCTTGCTCCCTTTTAGAATAATCAGAGCCACTTCTTTGAGTGCCAGCGAGATGAAAGTGGTGTCATCAGTTGGCTTTGCCTGTAAATTTTTTTAAAGTGGAAGTCTCTTGCATTTGCATGTGAGCAATTCATTCTGTAATATTAGGGTGATCCAAAAGTAATCGGGCACCTTGATTTTCTAAACATTCTTCAAGATCTCTTTCTGATCAGCTATGAACTACCAGCAATTTGAACGCTTTTGTATAAAGTGACCTTCGCAGGTTATCTTGACAGCACCTTGCAGCACCTCACCGACATTTCTTCGAGCGGCGTTTCAAAGAAGTCAGACAGACTTTTTTGAACGCCATCCGAATTTGTGCTGTTGCACCTGAAAATCCCTCGATATGTGGCATACCATTCGAAAGAGCTTTCCAAGTTCTTTCTAATGATTAGTTGAATATTCAAAAATTGCCCACTATTTCGTACAAAAAAGACACTTTATTCGAAAAAGTGCGATGTTTGGCGCAGATTTTCAGACTAAAATTCATGTTTTGGCCCACAATTTTTTGAAAATGAGAAAAGTCGAAGTAATTTGGATGTGTATGGATAGAGCGTGAAAAGCACTATCAGAAAGCAACTGTTAAGGTTGAGCTTATTTGATTACCTTGATGAAAAAATAAGTAATATGTCTCCTGATATCCAGTGCTATATCTTCTGTTCTAAAGCCTTGGGAACACCGAGCTATCATGGATTTGGTGACAGTCCCCTCACCCATTGCTGAGCAGATGAGACCGGCCATACTATTCCTGTGATTCCTACAATTCCTGCGATTCCTATGGTTGCTGCGGGTCCCGTAACACTGTATCTTGCGAATAAACAATGTATACTGAAATTCGCAAAGCACTCCGTAGTGCGGCACATCGGAAGTCGAGGAATCACAAGATTTGCAGGAATTACAGAAGTCGCAGGAATCACCTCCTGGAATAGTATGGCCGGTCCCGATATCTTTGGTAGGCACACTTGTTCTACTGCGGCGCTGCTGCTCAAAATTCAAAATTACTTGGTGATGAACTTTAATTTTGAGCTCTTATAAAAATAACGCCATGTGATAGTGCCCAATTGTAGACCTCGATCAGAAGGTTTTGTTATGTACTAACATCTGCCATAACTTGGACTTCCAAATAGCTTTTCTATTTGAGAAGACTGCATTTATTCGCTAGGTGCCCCATTACTTTTGGATCACCTTAATAGTAAGATCGTTTCGTAATCTCTTTATCTGATATGCAACATGCAAATAGTTCGTCAAAGCATTGTTGGCATTGACTTGCACCCGTTATCAACATCCTGACAGGTACGCAATTGCATACACTAGCAAGAAAATGTGCCCTTCGATTCAACAGGATTGGCGGCTGGAAGGAGGGGCTTTGTTGCCTAATTAAAGGCACCGTCCACCCAGGTTTTCGACTTCCACGTTTTTGTCGTTTCAGGGTCTTTTCATATCCCTGATTCCGATTATGAAGTCGAGAATGCGCGAAAACCCCGACAATTCCCGTTCCGGAAAACCCACAGGCCGTATTCTGGAACGATGATTGGATGGGCGCGCACAAATGGGCGGGCATGGCTGGGGATCCTCGTGCATCTTCGCTATTCCGAAGCAATTTTCTCGCTTCCGAAGCGACATTTTGCGCCGCGACTTGGGCATTGGATTGATAGGGGGCCCTACTATTATATGCTGCCAAAAGCTCAACACCCTCAACTAGGGTGGACAGTGCCTTTAAGGCTAGAGAATGATCAGAGAGCATGTTCCCGACAGGGACGCAGACTGCGTTGCGAGCGAGCGTCTGCCAGTCGCCAATCTCGTTGAACCAAAGAGTACTCCACTTTACCTTACTCGCATACGCCATGCGCGGTCTTTCGGTCCAATCTCTCCATTGCTTAAGTTAAAATATTCAAGGAAAATCAGTAACGGGAAACGATATAATTGCATCACATTATAATGCTCTGCATGATCTTGAAGGTCGGTGAGTTTGCGGCCATTGCTAGCGCATGGAGCTTTCTCGGTTTTCTTTCCGTCGTCAAACACTTTCCTGCCATCAGATGTTTGCCTTCCCCTGAAGCGATTCTAAAAACGGGGGTTGGTTTAAGCGGTTTGAGGCCTTCTGGTACACGGCGTGGGCAGTGACCGCAATACAGGTCGACCTTCACGATCATGCAGAGACTCAAACCACTTACGGGCTCTTCCGGGCCGGTTGATTGAGTCCAATCTATGAGGTGACTAATGCCGAAAGTGCAATCTTGACCTATTTCGAAATTATGAAACAGGGAATCATGCACTTTCGCAACATTTCGTACTCCTGATTGAATACATTGCCGTGCTACTCCCCCGTCAAAAGTGTCAGCGAACTAGGAAGCTTAGGTAAAAGCGAAGAATCCCAAATGACGAAGAGCTTCAGAATGAAGCGCCAGTGCCTCTCATGATTCGTGTTAGAACTGAAGATGCAACTTCTCTAATGCTTTAAAAGTCGTTGAAAGCAGTTGTACATCGTAGTGACTATTAGTCACTATACTCATGGTCAGTGTTAGGCCAATTCGAACGGGAGTGGACACTAAGGGCCGCATGCACTAACCTCCCCGCTGGGGAGGGGATCGCAGCTTAGAAGAAAGCTTTATATTTCGAAACTCCAGATACCTGATTTCACATTGTGTACCTATCCGTAAGTATTCCTACTACCCTTCACTATGAACATGTTGAACAGGAGCGAGAAGCTGTACGAACCGCATTTTCCAGCTTTTGTTTGATCCCTGATGATCCCCGGCGCTTTTCTTTAGAGTCATTTTTCTTTCTCCACAGTTAACGAAAACCTTCCAAAGTTGTACTGAACATCTAAAACAACAGTGCTAAGCATGTTGCTGATGAGAACAAATGAGTTTTTGAAAACGCGAATTTTTCGGTAAACCTCAAATTTCGACCTGTGGGTCATCGAAAATTTCGTGACTCCGATACTTCACTTGTTCTTATCAGCAACATGCTAAGCAGTGTTGGGTTAGATAATCTGCACAACTTTGGAAACTTTTCGTTAACTTTGGAGAAAGAAAAATGACTTCAAAGAAAAGCGCCGGGGATCATCAGGGATCATACTAAAGCTGGAAAGTGTGGTTCGTACAGCTTCTCGCTCCTCTTCAACATGTTCATAGTGAAGGGTAGTAGGAATACTTACGGATAGGTACAAAACGTGAAATCCAGGTATCTGGAGTTCCGAAATATTAAGCTTTCTTTTAAGCTGCGACCTCCTCCCTGCGGGGATGTTAGTGCATGCGGCCCTAAGTCTCGCATAGCAACTAAAGGTTGAAATGCATTCGATTCATTCACTCCTCTTTCTAGCGGCAAGTGTGAAACCAGAATCTTCGGGAAGGGTACAAGTGCAGAAATCCGCAGTGCGTCTCATCTTGCCAACATCCGCCAATGTTTTGATTTCATCGAAATTATAATACTGGCAAAGCCCAAAATCATCAGACAGAGGAAAACTGATGCTT